TGTACGATAAAATATTCGTGCAGATGAATCAGCAGCTCTCGGAAGCGCAGCACGAGTTTCGGCCAATGAGAAGCACCACTAGCAACCTTCTTAGCTACATGGCTGAAATTGTGCCCGCAGTGGATAGGGGGGTGCAAGTCGACGCCGCTTACTTTGACTTTAAAAAAGCGTTTGACTTAGTGGATAACGAAGTCTTGCTAAAAAAGTTAGTTCACTCCACATTTGTTAAAATTATTTGCCAGCTATATGACAGGTAGAAAGCAGTATGTGGAATATGCCGGCCATACGTCGGACACATATGTAACAAAATCTGGAGTAAGCCAAGGAAGTAATTTAGGGCCACTTCAGTTTTTGTTACTGATTAACGATTTGCCTGAGGTAGTTAAGGAATCTAAGTGCCTTCTTTTTGCTGATGACCTCAAGTTGTATAATGTCGTAGAAACGTGGGCAGACTGTGAAAAGCTACAACAGGACGTAAACAGAGTGGTGGAATGGAGCAAGAATAGCCATTTACAGTTAACGCCTCCAAATGTGTAACCATTTCATTTACTAGAAAGCGCAAGCCCATTGTATATAACTATGAAGTGGATGGTTTGCAAATTGTAAGATTTCACGAATTTAAAGATCTAGGCGTTCTACTAAATAGTGAAGTAACATTTAGGGAACACATTATCTATTGCTGCAAAAAAGCGTATAGAAACTTGGGCTTCATTCTTCGCACAGTTCACGGCTTCACGAATATTAAGGTAATCTTCACTCTGTATAACACGCTGGTAAGGAGTAATCTGGAGTGTAACGCCTTAATATGGACACCGCACGAAAATGGGTATAGTGCAATGCTGGAACGAGTGCAAAATAAATTTATAAGATATTTATATATGCGCTATTATGAAATCTACCCTATGTATCCATTAATGTACCCAACTTTATACATTCTGGGTATGGTTGGCTACAACGAGTTGATGGTAAGACGAGACCTAGCATTTGGCTTATATATTTTTAAAATACTTAGAGGAAAAATGTATGATAGTGACATATTGGGACGAATTGGGCTGTGTGTTCCAGACGGGTACCTATGGAAACGGCGGCGGCCGCAGCTGCTGTCTGTACCGCGAGCCCGTACCAATTTACTCGATAAGGCGCCTTTAACGCGAACGTTACGCATTCTTAATAGAATGGCTGAAGGCATTGACCTATTCTATTGCACCTTGAGTGAATTTACTAGGGTAGGATTGTTTACAATATGTTACAGTTAATGACCACATTTTTGTTATGCATGATAAGTACTACACTGTCGCATTAGGTTTTCTTCTTGTTATGATAGTTGTTAGTTGAAATAAATAAATAAATGTGCATGTAGTATGAGATCGAGCCACCTGTATTCTGTAAACAAATCTGAAACAACACGACCGTTACTATTGTAATTTTTGAGTTAATAAGAATAAAAATAAGCAATAAAAGTGTGGTTTGCAAGATGACGTTGTGACAAGGATTAAGAAAGGAATGCTTCGGTGGTTTGGTCACGTAGAAAGAATGAACGAGGAAAGAGTGACAAAGCAAATTTATGTTGCAGAAGTGAACGGCAGGGTCGGGAAGGGACGCCCTAGACGAAGGTTTATTGACCAGATCGGCGATACATTGAAAATGGGCCAGATTAGGAGTACCCTTAACCGACGAGCGTGTATGCGTAGATATATGGATGTGAAAGAGGCGAGAGAGGTGTGTCAGGATCGCGCCAAATGGAAGTCCGTAGTCTCTGCCTACCCCTCTGGGTGACAGGCGTGAGTGTTTATGTATGTAATAAGCAATAATGTGATTAACTTATTGAAGAAAGGTAACGTCATCTTTTTGTTAACTTGACGTGGCAGATCTCTTTTTTCAGTATAAAGTAAACAATTCGGCATTTTTGAGGACGTCGTTTTAGCCGCGCAACTAGATTTAGTATAGTGAGCAGCGCGGCTGCCACTAGTTTTGTCGTACGCATAGGACTGCGTGGACTTATATTTTGAAAGAGGGGAACGCCTGCGTATGACTACTCCCCTTCGATTCGCTAGTGGCCCGTGTTCATATGAGAGAAATCCATGATAAAAAATTTAAGTTTTTATTTGATCCACTTAGCGGCCTGAAATACTATCTCAAACTGCCCAGCGGATAGATATTTTTTAGGCGTCTGTCTGGGTAGGTAACACCCGAGATCATCTCATTTGAAACTGCATGCGACTCCGCTTTAATTTATAATGGATTATTTTACATTGTATCATAAAATATAAACCTACGCGTCCTTTTTCTTATGTTTTAGTAGTAAAATCTACTAAAACATAAGAAAAAGGACGCGTAGGTTTTATTTGACATGTTAAAAACGATAAAATCTACCAAAAATACAACGTTGGTGCTTGTGATTTTAAATTAGACAAGAGGTTCTTAACCGGTGTTTTGTGAACTGCTGGTGGTCCCTGAATTCACTCGAAGCGGTCCGCGAAGGCTGCATGCAATTTTTTCTAAAAAAAGTCTAAAACCTATTTGGACATAATGGTCTATGTGCAGTTACTTCTTATGCGGTTTATAATACAAGGTATTGTAACATTAAGTTATGGAGCGCAAAATAACATGGTATGTGTTTTATTAGTTAATAGAAAAAAAAACTTAAAATCAACTTTACCGGAATTTTTAGTGTGTTTAAAATATGGGGGTACATAACCACTGAATTAAACGGTTTATACCTATTTAGGCCGCCAAATAACAGTGCTTGTGCTTGCACTGCTTTACTTCCTTCTGAATTATATAGAGGGCCAGTATAATACAGTCAGGCTGTGAGACATTGTATCTTAATTCTCAGAGGTGACAACGTTTCTGTAGCCTTTTGTTTGAAGTTAGCTGCAGTAGCCGTTTATCATCAGGATTGTACATTCGGTTGTCACTTCAGTTTTATTTTAAAAAAAAAAAGGTATTGAGTTCATTATTTGACTTTAATCTGGGTCTTCAACTGTTCACCGCTGGGCTAAGCCTATAGACTTAATACTTTCACTGTTCGGTTTTCCGACAAATATATATAGTGCATGGGATAGCGAAAGGGTTAAAATATATACTGGCGTAGTCACTGGCCTCTATATATTTCCCTATATATAATGTACTCTGTGCTATATATACATATTATGTAGATATAGATATATATATAGAGTTCAGTGCGTGTAGTGGTGTTAAAGCAAATCCAAAAGTATAAAGCCAAGTTAACGACAAAATCTCCAAAAACTTAATATACATCTTAGTATAGAATAAAATAGGTACTATATTTTATTCTATACTAAGTTGTATATTTTAATTATTTATTTATTGCATTCCTTAAATCAAAAGAATACAAAGGGTGGACTTAATGCCTTGAGACATTATTTACCAGTCAACCAATGGAGTGGTGAGAATTGGATTACATTATATATTTTATATTCGATCTGTGAATAAAATACTGACTGAAGGACTTTTTACCCATGGTCAATTTTACTTTATTTGATTTATTATATGGACAACAATCAAAATACATTATATATATATATATATATATATATATACATATATATATATATATATATATATATATATATATATATATATATATATATATATGTATATGTATATATATTTGTGTCAGAGTGTTATCCTAAATATGTCGACACATAATTTTGTATTAACTACCGAAAAAGATCAACTCTACGCTTTGCAATATTTGTGACATACATAACTATATAATACAATAAATAAAAATTAACAAATAATAAATTTAAAAACTATTTGATATCGAAATGAGTGTAAGTGTAAGATGTTTTACTGCTCTTTTGAATGTCCTGGATCTTGGGTAAAAACATCCAAGCCGGAGCTTTTCATGGATATCTCGTTGCAAAGTAGACACATTCTTATTATCGGGTTATAAAAGGAAGTATTATTCTTAAAGGTCTGCAGGTTTTTACCTGTCATGATTAAATGTCATGCTAGGAATTCGGAGATTTTGCTTTGTTTACTTAAGAGGTAATTGGAATCGATCTAATTATGGAGAATTTTATGTTAACATATAAGGTCATATTCCTTACGCCAAATAAGTAAGAAGGTCACTTTAAATTTGTCGAGTATTTCACTATAACTAATTACTAGATTGCGAGCAAGACACTTTCTATACTATTTGAATGACAGTGTAGCAGGGAGACCAAATGACACAAGCATATTCAAGAATGCCACGGACAAGGCTAAAATAAAAGGTCAATGAGATTTGAGGCTGTATGAAGCCCTTAGTGCATCTCGTTATGAATCCTAGTAACTGGAATGCTTTGTTTTCAATGTGCGTTGTGCGCAAGTGCTCACTAAATGATAATTTAGAGTCAAATAGCACACCCAGGTCTTCTTATAACTACATAATTATTTAATAAAAAGGAGTTTTGGCGGGAACTTGACCGGCGTTGGATTGCTGCTTCTGTATAATTTTTTTTAAAATGGCTTGAAGTGGATTTTGATACGTAAAAGTGGTGCAATTTTATGTATTAAATGTCTGCACATGTGAACTATTATTGGAAACGATGAAACAAGTGCTCAGATGGTGATGTGAATCTCAAGATAAGGTGTCTGTGTGCTTAGGCGCCTTGAGATACTATCGCCAACTGTCGGCTGGCTCAAGTTGCCGTCAAAATCTTCCAAACACTATACAATATGACGCATCAATATATTGTAAAGCAGTGTACTATACATTATTATTATAATTTGATACTGAAAATCTATAAAAACGAAGATCCAGAATGAAATGACGACATGGCTTAAAAAATAAGCATCCAAGCCAAAAATCTTAATATAAAAAATACATTGAAATTGACACGTCTGACAGCTTAGTTCAGCAAAAAATGTCAAAAAGATATATAAATGTTGTAGAAACAAAATAAATGTTTGATGGCTTATTTATTTTATTATTATTATTATTATCACAGAACACTATACTAAATCAATTACGAAAAAGTCTTTGAAATATGGAATATCATTATTCAGATCTTTGTATACCTACCGATCATCTTTTGACTGGTTAGTATTTTTATTGTGATTTGTAGTTGCAACAAGTGCAATGTTATTACAATTTATTTTTAATTTAATGTCATTTTAGTACAATATAGCAACGTTAAAATTACACACATGGATCTTTCTACCCTTTTAAATTTTGTAATTGCTATATTTTAAAAATAATTAACAAAGTGAATATAAGGACTCATATGCCTGATTAAGATAGCTCCGTTTAAAGAGTTAATTCAGCAGTGGACTATTTGCAAATTGTTGATGTAGTTGTGAATGATGATAATGATAATATTATGGTTAAAGCTAGCATAACTATTTTTTATCTTATTTTATTCTTACTCAAAGTAAATTTTTTCATCCAATTTCAACTTCAGCACATGGTCATAATTTGTTTTTCATCTTTGGCAAAAGTTTGATTTACAAATACAACAGCAATTTGTATACTCAATCAATAACTTTTCTAATGGTGATTTCTAGATCACTATGGTGCAGAATATACACAGCAGTACTTAATACCTACACAAGAGGCAGAATATGAAGTAAGAAGTAGTGTTCTGGTGGATGGTGGTGATAGGTATGGAGTATCAGCCGTGGTCTTTGACAAATATGAAGAATTGATATGGATGGGCAATCAAGGTGTAAGTGATAACAAGTAAATCTTGTATTTGGTCTGAATGTAATGCATGCATAGTTCAGTGAGTATCATTATGCTAAAGATATATTTATATATAAAATCAAATTTTTGAAGTGAATTAATAGCTTGCTTTTTCCTCAAGGGCCATGTAACATCATATTATGGCCCTGGAATGCAGAAATACACTTCCTTTCAAATACATGAGTCTGAGGAAGTCAGAGATATATTAACAGTTGAACAGGGAATTTATGCGTTGACAAAGACAACATTACGCCATCAAATACGTAGAGGAATTCCTAAGCACACATACAGGTATAAAAATCTTCAACTATTCTTTCAAAATTTAATTTACCAATTTTATCAACAACATTATTTTAATGAAGTACTTGTATTTTTTGTTCAAAGTTTAAATAAATGAAAATACCAAAAGCAAAAAAAGAAAATATTTATTGACATGGTGCAAAAACTTAAAAGAAAAAATAAAACATTTCAGTTTTTTTTTTACAAATTGTATTCTAGATAATTATACAATAATTACAGATCTGAGAGCATGATAGACATGCAATGTCTATTTCAAGTGAGTGCAACAAAGCTAATGATGGGAGGACATCAAAATAAGTTATTAGAGCTGGATATAAACAAAATGTCAGAAACTGTAATAGTAAGTTTGAACTCTATTTATAAAATGTTGGTTTTGCCTTTCAATCACTAAGAACCATTAAGTACCAAAAATTTGTAACGAATTTTAGTTCATTATGTACTAATATGTAACTACAGATGTGAAACTAATAAACAAGATATGTCATTCTGTTTACTTTTGAGATCACAGCAGGCTCTGACTAAAGTATTCAAATGACCACAGTCAGACATTTAATTTAATATATATAAATATATATATATATATATATATATATATATATATATATATAATTAGCTGTTCCTTGTGACTTCACCCGTGTGTTATTTGGGGTTTTAATTTTTTTGCGTGGAACCCTGATTCTTTTTCTAAAATAAAAGTAGCCTAAGACTTCTTATGACATCAGCTATCTGCCAGTGAAAATTCCGTCAAAATCGGTCCAGCGGTTTCGGAGATTAGTCTGAACAAACAGACAGACAAAAACTTTAAAACTTGTATTTTGGTTATTAGTATTGTATATACTTTCATATGTATTTAGTAAAAAGCTGTAATTTTGACATTACAAACAGACACTTCAATTTTATTTATTTGTATAGATATACATACACAAATTAAATAATTATTTTCTTCTTTTCTATTGCTTTTAAAAAAGGTTAGGCACAAATTGTACAAGGACAAACATCCAGACCTGAAGCAATTAGTTGTAGGCCATACAAATACTTGTTCTGTGCGGGATTCAAACCTGCGACCCCCAGTGAGGCAACTCATTGCTAAGCTACTGCGCCACGGAGCTGTCAAATTGTTTATATTATTATTATTTTACTTAACTTAATGTATTGTTAAAGATATAATTTTTTTTATTAGCCTATTAAAGAAGATGGTTGTGTGGTGCTTCGTAGTGGAGGAGGAGCCCTAGTCGCTTGTGGGAGCGCTAACGGTAAAGTAGCGCTTCGCGATATTCGAACACCAAATGCAGCTGAACATACATTCAGGGCCCACACAGCTTGTTTATCGGATCTGGACATGCAGGGTGATTTGCTTATATCATGTGGTTTCACTCAGTCGTAAGTATGCAGACATAAACTGTAACAGTAACTTAAAAAATACTACTAGCTTGGTGATATATAGAAATTAAAACATTAAATGGAAAGCACTCATTGTGTAGTTGTGGCATAAGATAATCTAATTTTGAGATGTACTAAAAGTATAAGTAGCGACACGAAAGTCTAGCGGTGACCGTTATTGCGCATAAGTCGAAAATAATGTATCATGGGGTATTAAGCGCGGGGCGGTCGTGCGTCTTTTGCACGCGCTGATTGGTTCGTGCGTATCGTTCGCACGCGCTGATTGGCACTCCAGTCGCATTCGTGCAATTCAATTCGTGCGCGACAGTACCCATCCGCAGCTAAGCCATCCTTGTTTCGTTCAGTGCTAGACTTACGTATGTAGAATCTGAAAGATGGTGGATTCATCTTGTTGATTGTTAGACCCCGCAGACTATAAATGCAGCATGGATGGGTGGGCAAACACCCTTGCACTGGATACCAGTGTAAATCAGCAACATAGTGATGTGATTCATATGTATGATGAGTAGTGAGAACTGGAGATCCTTTTTACTTGTAACAAGGCATTCCATCTTAATTTTCAGGGCTGACAATGTATCTGCGTTTTGAATTTTAATCCAGTATAAATGACTGGCCAGTGTTTACTTACTATCACCTGATACTACTGTGTGATAATTTGTCACCCTTCTGTAAAAAATACTAACTGTGAAAAAAAAATTCAAATTCATTTATAGTGTAGTGATGTTGTAGTACTAAAAGGGAAATAAAAAGATTTTGTGGTTTTTAAATGATTGTGATTTAGACCTGGATAATCATCTGGTACTGTAAACATCAACTATCATTGTGTTACTGCACCAACCATTCCAACCACAGAAAAGAGGGTTGATAACTGTACGTGAAAATTGTATGTGGTAGAGCCATGCTGCAGCTATATTAGTAGTATAGTTGTAGCACGAATGGGTCGGCTCGACCGGGGAAGGACCATGCTCTCACAGAATACCAGCGTCAAATGCAGCTCGTATGGTGAGTGTAGAGAACCGGAGACCCTTTTTACTGGAAACGAGGTAATCCATCTTAGTCCTCACGGGTGGCAACACATCTGCATTTTGATTCGGAAACGAGGATAAATGTAGATGTCTATGGGCCACAGCAACCACTTACCATCAGGTGGACTGTGTGCTCGTTTGTCACCCATTACTATAAAAAAAAACTATCTCATTCCCACTTTTAGAACGCCCTATGCTAGAAAATTTTATGATTTTCAGGCCCCACATTTATTAAGTTAAACAAAATAATAAAATTGAGAAAACTTAACTAAAAACAAATAAAAGATTTACTTTTGTTTGTGTTTGTGAACACAATTATGATAGCTCATAAAATCTATTGAATGTAAATACTTAATAATTGATTAAAAATATTTGTTTTATCTTTTTGCTCTTACAATCACTTTCACGCCATAACACTACTTCACAAATTATAACATACACAAAAAACTTAAATACAGAAAAACACGTACATGCATCCACACATTTGTCATATTACTTAGTCATCGTCACATATTATTAGTATACGTTTTTTTAAATCTTTAATTTTTAATTTAATAATTTATTTGAACTATTTATTTCTTAATTTTAAATAAAATAAAGTAGAATATAATTAAGTATAATTAAATTGAATTAAAAGTTATAATTAATGTTAATATTTTTATGCGTAATATATGGAACAACTCCTGACATATAGGATTCCTAGTTCAGGAGCTAGGGCTGAATCAGAACAAGTGTAACATTTATTTGAGTTCTAATTCTAATTTATTTGAGCATTGCATTTATTGCGAATTCTTTAAACTGTTTGAGAGATCAATCCTGTGTACAGAATTTAAACTTTCTACAGACCTCATCAAGGAAAACATCGTGACAAAACCGGCGTGTCTGGGAAATAAGAAAAAAAATATTTTCGAAGATATGTGAAGTTCGAAAACACGCATTGAGGCAGTGCGGCGGACATTTCTTGCCGCAATACCCTTTCAGAAATGAGAGGACTCCTGTGCCCAGCAGTGGGACGTATATAGGCTGTAACTTTAACAGACCGCATGCATTTCAGTTTCGGGGGTAACAGTTTACTGAAACCTTGAAAGATTGTCTTTGCAATTTTAACAACATGTATCCTTCCTATGTGGGTTTTAGTTGGTTAAGATAAATGTTTCTGTTGTTTAGCGTCGGCGGCGTAGCAGTGGCAGAGCCCTACGTAGTGTTGTGGGACGTGCGTTGTCTCCGCGGCAGGACAAATGCGGAAGGTGCTTGGTCACTCCATACAGCCGCTCCACCTCTTTTATTGCACTTCTTGCCAGCATTCTCTGGTAGAGCGGTCGCCGTATCTGGGGATGGTCACGTAGCGTTACTGCACGTCAATACACCGGACGATATGGATAAGCAGTCTGTGTTTCAGGTAAATGTTTTGAAAATACTGTTACCATAGATTTAATGATTGGTTTATTTAAAAAAAAAAGTGAAACAAATTAAATAAAACCAGTTCTGCTGTCCTACTCCCGACATAATCTAGTTCTGAATTTTCACTAAATAAATGAATAATATATGTTCGACAATCGAATTTTATTCAAACTAGTCTAAATTTTTGAACTCTCGAAACCGTAGCTATCGCACAATCGAATGGTGGTTCAAATTGAAGTTATCATAACCATAAGCGCTCGTAATCGCATGCGACGAGAACGCTTGCTTGATTAGTTTGTCCTATTCATGTTATAAAATGTTTGAGGAGTAAATTTGTAATTTACCAAAACTGATCATCGGATAATAAAATATAATACGTAACTCTATCTTGTTACTCGATTTGAATGGGTTCGGTATTAAGCTTTTCAAATTTCGAATATAATCATTTTGAATCGAAAACCGAATCGAATTCGAAAACAATTTCGAAAGTAAACCCTCTGGTTAAAATTTTACAGGACCAACTTTTAAAAAACTGTCCTACTACATAATACTGTTATAAAATATGTCTTATCTGTAATCTGTAAACAAAAAATAATGTTAAAGCATCTGTGCATGAAGATAGATAGATAAATAACTCTCTATTGCGCACATGAAAACAAAAAGAGAAAAAAAAAGGACAAAATGTTATAACTTAGTACTGGATGGACCGGATTGTAAAACAAAATAAATCTTAGTGGGTTGGTGATGCGCTAATGCTACAATCTATTATTACAATACTATTATGTTCTTAATATAAATTTTAATAACATAAATTAAAACTTAAAGCTCCGAATAAATTATTTTTTACTAGCCTGCAACAGTCCACTGCTTGAATATATGCTACCCACAAAGTAGCAAGGAATTGCTGTAATTGTTTGGCATGACAATTTTCAATTGTAGTACCATACCAAATGGCTCGCACCTGTAACGTCCCTTTGCTGTTTGGGTATTTTACATTTGAATTGAGGTCATGAGGTTTTGATCAACTTTCCCATAGTTGCCCTATTACACACATGGGACCATGGAATGTAAAAAAACAAGAGGAAGTAGCAAAACGCATCATTTTTAGCGGAACCGCTGTCGCCAAACTCACACATACGCAAGAAAGAAATGTATACTGACAATTGTGTACCATTTCAATTATTTAGCTTCTTAACGCTAGATGTTGCAATAATACATTCACATTATTATAGACACAATGCTAAAGTATATAAAGTTGACATCACCCTATCCAGGGTGATGCAACTCTGTATGAAATCCGAGAAACTTGCACACAATCATAATTTTATGTGTGTGTGTAGATTGGGCGTCTAAAATTAAAGCGAGAAAAAGATATCGCTGTTTCTCTCTTTCGCGTTGTTTCAGATTGCCATTTTAAAAATTATATATAATTATATTTTAACAGCGAAGAAGCGATCGAGCGGAACCAAGGCTCCAAAGTCTTTGCCAGAGATCTGTCTGCCAGAAAGAGTCAACTGTCAAAGCTGAAGACAGAATGTGGCAGCATCGTTTCCGGGGCACCTGAGATTTTGAGTGAGATTGAGAGGTTCTATGGGCAGCTGTACACGTCATCGTTGGAGCCACACGCGAGTGTGAGTAACGATCCAAGAGCGAGTCTTATCCGACATTATTCCGATGATATCCCGGACGTCAGTCTGAGCGATATTAGAATGGCTCTCCAGCACATTTAAAACGGCAAGGCCCCAGGCGAGGATGGAATTACAGCGGAGCTTCTGAAAGCGGGTGGAAGACCGGTACTTGAAGTCCTTCAGATGCTCTTTAATTCCGTCCTCCATGGTGGCATTACACCGGAGGCGTGGAGAAGAAGTGCGGTGGTCTTGTTCTTCAAGAAAGGTGACAACGCTCTCTTGAAGAACTACAGACCGATTTCCCTTCTGAGCCGCGTCTACGTGCTGTTTTCGAGAGTCATTACGAATCGTCTCGCGCTCAGACTTGACGACTTCCAGCCTCCCGTACAAGCCGGTTTCCGAAAGGGTTTTAGCACCATAGACCACATACATACATACCCTTCGGCAAATTGTACAGAAGTCCGAGGAGTACAATTTGCCACTATGTCTGGCGTATGTGGACTATGAGAAAGCCTTTGATTCCGGCGAAATTTGGGCGGTGCTGCAGTCCCTCCAGCGGTGCCAAGTTGACTGTTGGAATATCGAAGTGCTGAAGTGTTTGTACAGTAGAGCTATCTATATACGATGGCTATCCGAGTACCGAACCAGAGTACGAAACCTATCCAATTGCAGAGAGGTGCAAGACAGGGTGATGTTATATCCCCGAAACTCTTCACCGCTGCATTGGAAGACGTTTTCAAGCTTCTAGACTGGAAAGAATACGGTATTAACATCAATGGTGAGTACATCACTCACCTTCGATTTGCCGACGATAAAGTCCTTATGGCTGAATCGCTGGAGGACCTAAGCACTATGCTCAATGACCTCAATAGTGTCTCGCAACGAATAGGTCTTAGGATGAACATGGACAAAACAAAGATCATGTTTAATGTCCATGTCACACCTATGCCGGTAGTTGTTGGGAGCACTAAGCTCGAAGTTGTTGACGAGTATGTTTACCTGGGACAAATAGTCCGACTAGGTAAGTCCAACTTCGACCGAGAGGTCAATCGACGGATTCAACTCGTCTGGGCAGCGTTCGAGAAACTACGACACATCTTCTCGTCAGATATACCTCAAAACCTTAAAACGAAATTGTACAACCAGTGCGTGTGGCCAGTGATGACCTACGGATCTGAGACGTGGTCCTTTACTGCTGGCCGTATGAGGAAGCTCAAGGTCGCTCAGCGAGCTATGGAGAGGGCTATGCTCGGGGTTTCTCTGCGTGATAAACTTAGAAATGAGTATATCCGCATTAAACAGAGTAACCGACATAGCCCAACGGATTAGTAAGCTGAAGTGGCAGTGGGCCGGCCATATAGCTCGAAGAACCGACAACCGATGGGGAAGAAAGGTTCTCGAGTGGCAGCCTCGTACCGGTAGGCGAAGTGTAGGGCGACCCCCCACGAGATGGAGTGACGACCTGGTAAGACATGCAGGAAGTCGATGGATGCAGGTGGACTTATGAAAGGCTGTAATGATGATGATGATGATGAATTCCCGCTAAAAAAGTTTTATATGGGCGCCCACCGTGGCGCTTTTAGTATACACTCATAAACACGTGTTTCCTTTTTTTTGGTATGAAGTTGGCATTTTTCTCTCGGTACAGATTAATTGTGTTCTGTGGCCCTACCTAACCTACGTAAATGATGTTAGTGAGTTACCTAGTTACTTTCCCTGAACGTGATCTGGCTTATATCGATATTCATTATATGATTAATATCATGTATATGAATTGAATTGACCGAAGAAACTAAATTGAAAAAAAAAATATGATAAAATGAGTAAAATAGCAAAATCTATTGGAAATTGCTTTGATATACTACGTATATTCCCGTAATTCGTATAGTCGGCATTATAGTTTTTAATAGAAATTTATTGACAGTTAACTAAATTATCATTTATGAAATGGAAACAAGGAAACTAATAAAAAGACCAATAATTTTGCAATTGTTTATTGTCATTGATATAACACGTATTTGTTAAAAAATATCGTTTTTACACACGTTTAAATTTAAGACGATAATGAATTCGGATACTAATGTAGATCATGATATTAAGATCGCTTTTATTTCAGCTTCTTTCCAAAAGTCATGAGTACTACTAAATTACTTACTTACTTCTTTGGCTTAGCCATCCAACCAAATGTTCATTTATAGGGTATATCACCCTATAATTTCGTATATTTCCATAGACATCCAGTATATGCAAATTTTCATTAATATGTTAGTGAATGAACAGGATTGTGATAAAACTTTATCGAAAACTTTAATATCTGCGTAGTCACAACACTATCGCAGCTATTTTTATTCAAAATTTATTTACAGATGAACCTTAGTTTAACGAAATAAGGTTGAATATTAGTTGTAATAAAGGCAATTTGACATTTTGTCCACGTTTAGTGAAGTCTCTACCCAAAAAAGGAAAAAATCACACGTGCCTTTGATACGAAACACCTCTATTCAAAATATTTTTCTTTTTACTTTCGTTTTTACACTCCAATATTGCTCAAAACAGCACATTTTCGCATATATCACTTAAGCAGCGATCCGTCAGCTCGCAACAATTTGAGCCTGCGACTGTCAGCCAATTACGCTCTACTGTCACTAATTGTGACACACCTGCCCCGCCCACTTTGGGCTTCCTCTTGTTTTTTACATTCCGTGCATGGGACATACATGGTATGGAAAGGTTGTAATAGATTCTCTTACCATGCCACCACAAGTTACGGAATATATCATCATATATCGTAAAGTAGTTCATTGATAGCAATGTTATAAAACGAAAACAATAATTAATTACAGGTTGACACGCAGAACTCTATGTGCAGTGTAATGGATGTTTCGGCAACAAGCCAAGCACTTGCCTTCGGCGACCAAGCTGGCCATCTGCATTTGTTTTCACCTCAACATAACCATGAACCTGTATTTAATAACTTCTCAAGGTGAGTAAACTTAGGTTTATTTATTGAATGATGAAACTAGATTTTATAGATATTATTGAGTCTTTAAATCTTGCAGTCTTAAATTATATAAAATATAAGAATTATTGTTCCGCGTCTGGATGTTTGTCCTTGTGCAATTTACGTATGTAAACTGCCCCCGCGATAGGAGAAAATTCTACTGTGCGAATTTTAAAGTAGTTTTTTAAAAATAAGTAGAAAAAAATTGGTATATCGTGTTGAATGTAGACTATAAATAAATAATGTATATGTATGAATAATAAATAAATACCAATTTTTTTAAAAATAATACTTTTACAATTATCTTTGTACAATAAATTTGTTCATATATCTTAATAAATAAAATACAACGACATAATAGATTGTATGTTGACAAACATCCAGATCCGGAGCAATTATTTATAGGTGAACCGAAAACTGTTTACTGTGGCGCGGAAAGATGGCTTTGATTTGATTGTCTTGCTAGTAGTGTCCAGTGGATTATCAGAGTAAGTGAAAATTACCAGAGTCCGTGGAAACTGCAACAGCATCCTGCGCATGACAGCAAGGAAGATGGCTAGTCGTCTGTTTTGAAAGCTTATACAAACAACTAAATCCCTATTAAAGTTTAAGTAGTAGTCATAAAGTTTTTATGGTTATTAACACCAACGGACCTTTATGTTGTCTGAACAAATAAAATAAAATAAAAATAATAAAAATAAACATGCGTGAGTATCGTGGAACACTCGGTTGGAACGAAGTTCCTTTCATATTATTGATAAACTTATTATATTATTGATTAACAAATATAAATAAATTAATTATTAGCGTCTATTAAAATGAAGCGTCATCTTTATATATAAAAATTACGTGTCACGTTGTTTGTCCGCGATGGACTCTTAAACTACTGAACCGATTTGAATGAAATTTTGCACACTGTGCAGTTCGGTTCAACATGAGAGATAGGATAGTTTTTAACCCTCAAAATTTTTTAATGCTAATTTCAGGAGTTTTTTCTTGGGAAAGCAAATGGTCGTTCGGAAAGGGCAGAGCAACCGTCTGCCTGGTCAGCTAGTTTAAAATAAAATACATTATGACACAAGGGGTAGTGACGAAAAAAATCTTACACTTTTTGTCGCCTAGCCTGTACCGTCCGATATGGAACTTCGTTCAAATAAACAAATGGTTATAAATTTTGTTTATGTCAGACCAGTGACGGGGAGCAACGCCATACTTCGATCGCCAAACCGCCTACCAATCGTGGCCAATATCCATAATAGCCTATAAAAGACACTGCTGATCATAGGCCGTTCCCGTAGCCTTATCCTTCCATTGCCTCATAGGGAGGAGAAAGATGCTGTCGCGTCTTTCGACACCCACGGGACGATATGCGGTAGTGGATATTCTTACACCGCCACTACACGGTCACACGCTTAAGACAAATCCTCCCTAATACGCCAGAGTCCCATGTCCACCAGTAGTCGTTCATTGGTTCTGGTAATTTAATGCCCCCAACACGACCTTGAGCACAACACACTAAGTGCCGGCATTGATGAAATTGTTAATTCCAATTCTATATGTTGAAACAAATTTATAGAGCAACGGAGTTTGCAGATCAAGTGGTGGGACTGCCATTCGTTAGTTTCAACGACACAGCATTTCAATTCTCTACTGTGCCACTACCGTCATTAACGTCCGGCAACAAATGGTTCAACGAATTGCCACCGGATTTCTTTAAAAAAAGTTACAGGTCTGTATTATTAATTAATTAAGTCTGTATATTGTTCATTGACTGCCTCGTTGGCATGGTGGTGGTAAACGCGGTTACTGATCATGAGGTCCTGTGTTCGAATCCCTAGTCGGGCCAAAATTAGTCTTTGGGTTTTTCTGTTAACAAATTCTCAGTAGCAGCCCGGAGTTAGGAAGTCGGTGGCGTTTCTCCCCCATGCCTCAGAAAGAATGTAAAGCCGTAGGTCCTGCGCCTGATCTTTCAGATTACCGTCCCATCGGACTATTAGAGTGAGGGAATAGAGAGTGCACCTGTTTTTGCACTTACGCATGGGTACTATAATCATGTCCTGCGCAGGTGGCTAGTCTTTTTTTATTGGACAAGGGTGACAAACGAGCACACAGTCCACCTGATGGTAAGTGATTGCTGTGGCCCATAAACATCTACATCTATCCTCAATTACGAATCAAAATGCAAATACGTTGTCATAAGAGAGGATTAAAATAGAATGCCTCGTTTCCAGTAAAAAGGGTCTCCGGTTCTCCACACTCACCATACGAAACACGTGCGCGTCGTTCTACCCCGTTCGAGGCGACCCATTCGTGCTACAACTACACTACTAATGTGGCTTTACCACGTATACTCTATTGAGAATGGTCGCCGTGACCGAAACACAGTGTGGAGGAATTCATATTATTCATTAAGGTGAACTGAAGGAATGTGCCATTATTTCCAGCCAACCTCATGTAAAATCCATGACAGACGACGGTGATAAAGATGACGACAGACTGTTGATCGCTAACATAATATTCTCCTTATGAGGTAATGGGCCCTGCGTTCACAAGATAACCTTATATTCCTTCCAAATATTGCATGTTATCTGGTATATTTTTGAATTCCTATGTCCAGCTGTGGAAATAATTGGGCTGTTGATGTGATATTTTGCATTAAGGCTTATCCCTGCGCCAACGGCTTTGAGTATGTGCGCAGAATTCTTTACCGCTGTCCGCACCACCCGCACTTATAGATTGCGCGTGTACTTTTTCGTTCCGAGATTGTCATTACGTTGGTACGATATACGTATGCCGTATAATGACACGCTATTGTCATAGAGTATTGAAGTTACAGAAAGGTTGCCAATAGTTTAGCACCTTTATTGTAGTAAAAGTTGTGATTCTATCTACATTACACCTATGTAACTAAACACCCCTAACCCAGCCAATTTTAAAACGGAAATATATTTATTCTCAAAGTAAATTTAAACATGCTCTTTGAATAATTTAAAATTAAAAATTTTGTACAACCGACTTCAGTATAAATTATTAAGGATAACTCAAAAACTATTGGTCAGACCTTGATCAAATTTTTATTTATATGGGACCACATAAGAAGCACCAGCTTTCAAATAAAAAAAGAATCATCGAAATCGGTTCACAAAGAAAAAAGTTAGAGGTAACACACAAAAAAAGAAAAACATATAGTCGAATTGAGTACCTCCTCCTTTTTGAAGTCGGTAGAAAATTACCCTACAACAACTCCCATTGGTCTTAATGAATAACATTGTTTATGTTTTAGGGACCGGATCCATGCAAAGTTACTCATTGTACTTTATTACAAAAATTTCGCTAACAGAATTATTATAAATCTATTGTTTCACAAAAAGTAATCAAAATACAATAAAAACACAACATACATAGGTGTAAAGTAGATGTAATTACAACTTTTACTACAGTAAAGGTAGTAAAGCATTGGTGATCTCTCTGTAAATTTACTACTGTATGACATCACCCTATAGTATATAAACAATATTTAGAAATATTTTGTTGTCAAGGTGAAAAATTCCACCCGCAACGCAGCAACGCAGCACCGGCACTGATGTTTTGGATGAGGACAGGGTGTGATAGAAACTTAGCCTCGAATAAGATGCTTTGTTTATTTATTATAAATAAGATAAAATCATTTTTCAAAAAGTAAGAAAACCGAATCATTTTATAATGGTTTCCCAGTGGGTTTCTAGCTGGTTCTTCGCAGGACAGAGGATTTTTTTTCGAACCAGTGGTCGAAGTACAAAATTACTTACAATAAGAATTGTTTATAATCTATATTGAACAAAGATATTTCTATTCTATTCTTGATGTGTAAATGTCATGTGGTCATTAGATAAGAGAATCCCCTACTCCATATCATCCTGTAAGTGGTGTAAGAGGTGACTGAAGGCGTGAAAACAGGAGATGGACAACTTCTTCATATCAACTCAAATTAATAAAATCTACTGTCGCTAACCCGCCTGCCCAGCGTATCAGCTATCCTAAATATACCCTCTATAAGAACTACAGAGAGGCCTAGGTTAAACAGTAGATTTCTTTTATAAAATAAGGGTGACAAACGAGCACGCAGTCCACCTGATGGTAAGTGGATACTGTAGCCCATAGACATCTATATTTATCCTCGATTAAGAATCAACATACAGATGAGTTGTCACCGGTGAGGACTAGGATGAAATGGCTCGTATCCAGTAAAAAGGGTCTCCCTTCGGTTCTCTACACTCATCATACGAAACACAGCAGCGTTAAGCTGCTATTTTACGCTGGAAATCTAGAGTGTGGTCCTTCCCCGTTCGAGCTGACTCATTCGTTCTACAACCATAATAGAACTGCAGAATGGCTCTACTACGTGATAAAGTTTTTTATAAGCTGTAATGAATAATTTTTTTTTCCAGTAAAGTTGGAAACTAAAAATTTGATACATGTATATAAAAAATTGTTAAATTAAACAGATCGTGGTTTTGTGGTTTTTACCCTACTTATTACTTTGTAAGTATCAAAAATATTTTTATTTACGTCTTTTTTTTCCAGAAAGCCTAAACCGGTTGACCCTGAAGTGTTAAAATCAATGAAAATGCAAGGACCTATTGGGTACGCGCCCAATCCAAGGACGTCCAAAAGAAATCAGGTCTTATAAACAATAGAAAACAATAGCCTTCCTATAAATTCTCTTTATATATTTGTTTATTATTATTTTCAGATACCTTATTTGCAAGATAATCTAGAAGATCTGAATACAGCTAAACAAAACGAAACCAATTTCAATACACAGCCTATTCCCAAACATTATCAAAAGGTAATTCAATTATTTTTTTATAAAGAAAATCGTTCAAAGCCGGACATAACCCTAAAAGCCCCATACACTAGACAAAACTTTACGATAATATATCAATATATTCTGTAAATACCTGGCCATACAATACACAAATATACACTTGTTCTTGTTCTTTAGAAACATAACCATGTTTATTTGTTCATCCATATACATGCATAAACTCTCATGCCTTACCCAGAGGGGAAGGCAGAGACTACGAACTTCGATTTGTCATAATCCTGACACATCAATTTTCACGCTTCTTTCATATGCATATATTGACTCGTATCCATCCAGGAATTTCATCTATTTTAGGAGCTATTAATTTTATTACAACTATTATTAATATGAGAGCCGTGGTAGCTCAGATGGTTAGCGCTCGCTGTAAATTTCACAGTACGCGAGCATCCCGGGTTCGAACCACACCGGCACCAATTAAATTGTTAATTGATTTACCACGTGCTCGGCGGTGAAATAAAACATCGTGAAGAAACTTGCATGTCTGATAAATAAGCAAAAAATAATAATTCGAAGACATGTGAAGTGCCAATACGTATTGGGGCAGCGCGGCGGACACTTCCTTGCCCTAAAACCCTCTCAAAAATTAGAGGAGGCCTGTGATCAGCAGTGCGACGTATATAGGCTGTAACGTTACCTTTATCATAATATACGAATTAATCATATATAATTTGAACAAATGCCCCTATTTGTATGAGCAGTAGGAATTACTACTTTACTGTTATTATTATCTTTACCTGTCTTAGCAGGTTTTTTTTATAGGATAGGGTGACAAGCGAGCACACAGTCCACCTGATGGTAAGTGGTTGCTGCGGCCCATAGACATCCATATCTATCCTAAATAAAGAATCAAAATGTAGACGCGTCGTCACTCGTAAGGACTAGGATGGAATGCCTGTTTTCCAGTAAAAAAGGTCTCCGGTTGTCTACACTCACCATACGAAACACTGCAGTGTCAAGCTGCCATTTTACGCTGGTATTCTGTTAGAGCGTGGTGAGAGGTGCTATTACTATACTTCTAACAGACCGAAATCTTAATACTTCATTTTTTGACCCAGCAGGTTGTGGAGGTCCTTTTTTACACCAACATCTATTTTGATTTTTTTAGTCACCCAGAAGCCTTTCATTTTAATTTTACCTGGATTTGGTATAATCTCCCACATTATTTCACAAGAAAGTGTAAAAAAAGAAACTTGGATGTTAAGTAATAATTAATGCTATAATAGCAATTGTTTTATTAGGCTTTATTGTTCGAACTTATTATATATTTACAGTAGGAATAGATATTGATACTCGAGCTTACTTTACTTCCGCAACTATAATAAACCTAGCAAGCTAACAGCATAGCAAAGTGGCGAAGCAATCAGCTTTGTAGCGGTTTCTAACGGTTGCCGTTGAGCAATCAGTTTCAAAATAGGAGGTTCAGATGCCTGGGTGATCAGTAATCGATTGCTGAAAACAGAATTTAAAAATTCGAAACCGTTCTCGAGATAATCGTGGGACAGACGGACAGACATCATGAAATCAATAAGTGACTTCGCTAGCTTCGCCACTTAATAATTGCTGTATCAACCGCAATTAAAGTAGTTTAGTTGATTAGCAACATTAGATGGATCTCAATTATAGTCCATCTATTTTATGGAGATTAGGATTTTTTTTTAAATTTACAGTAGGAGGATTAACAGAAGTAATTTTAGCTAATTCTTCTATTGATGTAACATTACATGATACTTATTATGTTGTGGCACATTTTTTTTATGTTTTATCTATAGGAGCAGTCTATTATCTATACTGATACTGTTTTAGGCATTGAGTTATATGTACTACGTACTAGAGAAGCCATTCCAAACAAAAATTGTGTCCTACTCATGTCTTCGCGCATGCGCGGGAGTAGTAGTCGCGCATGCGCGAAGACTTTAATTTAATATAAAATAAGATATTAACATAAAATAAATATAAGAATTTAATATAAAATATCTTAATTTAATCTAAACAAACATATTTCTAAATAAAATGTAATAATAATTATTTTATGGAATTCACAAATCTTCAATTTACGCAATATTTAGTTTGTATGGATTGCACTACAGTTCAGTTGAACATAGTCAATGTTCGGAATGGCTTCTCTAGTACGTAATACATATAACTCAATGGTTTTAGGGTACTACTAATTTGTCCTATCTTCAATATATAACCAATTTAGTCGATAAAATTCCGTCTAAGGGGTCCTTTGCCGACTCTGCCTCTGACTCTGCAGCATGAATTTGCTTTGTCACTCTTTCCTCATTCATTCTTTCCAAGTGTCCAAACCACCAAAGTATTTCTTTCTTAATGCTAGTTACAACACCTTGCAAACCACGCTTTACTCTTATTACACAATTTTTAACCTTATGATTCTATGATATCGATATATTAACTAATTTGTTTATTTATGTTGTTATGTCGTGCTTAAGATGGATCTTCGCTACAACAAGCACGGACCAAATGAAGAATTAGAAAATTACAATAAAACCAATCTACCAGGACTTGAAGCAACCATACCTAATTCTTATTGCAATCCTATGCTCCAGGTAAAATTTCAGTATTTTATTCTTTTGTAGGTAGTTGAAAAATCCGTAATACAATAAGAAAAAATTGTGTACCTTGTTATTTTGGCTTAATTATTAAACTTTCATTAAATATGATTTCACATTGCAGGTGCTGTATTACATATCGCCTCTTAAAGCAATGCTTTTGGCACACACTTGTGCTAAAGAGTTCTGTCTCAGCTGTGAATTGGGTAAGATAATGAATTCTTTGAATTAAAAGTATATGTATAAAGGCCTCAAAGGGCTCTCCACATACAGCCTCATAACTGAGAGAGGAGTGAAAGAGCCCATTGCAGTACTCTATAGCTCTATACAACATGTTGACTGATTCCATATTACTAATATTATGTTCTCAATCTCAATTGTACTGAAAATTCTCTTTTAACGAAAATTTGATAACACTTAAATTTTGTCACCGTAATAAGTATTTAGCTATGAATTATGTGATACGCACTGCGCGAATAGAATTTCTTGTCGGTCAGAGTAAGTAATCCGTTGGGTAAAGTTCTTACCATTTAGATTATTAACACCGTCTAATTACATTCGTCAATTGTTAGAGAAGGAAGGGTGTGAAATGTTAGCTCCTATACTTAGAATGACGACCTGACAAGAAATGCATGTGGTCGATAGATGCAGGTTGTTTTCCGGATCGTGATTTGTGACCATATAATAACCAGTGGCGAACGCATGCGACCGCGCCCGGTCAAAACTAAGCTATATCAGGTTGATGCGATAGATTTTCGCCAGTCGTAATTATTCTACTATTGTGAATATGGTTTGGGAATTCCCGACAATTTTAAAGTCCCAGGACATGGGACAGCCTATAATCAAAGTCCCGGCAATTCTCGGGACTTCGAGACTTTTAAGAAAAAACTTTTTTTTTTAAGATGGGTAAGCCTTTTTTGAAGAATTTTGATTGAGTTAATTTCTGGTAAAACGTATTAAAAAGAGGCATTTTTTGTAAAATCAACATTTATTAAACAACTAGCTGTTCCCCGCGACTTCGCCCGCATGTAATTTAGGGTTTTAATTTTTTTGCGAGGAAGCCTAATTATTTTTCTAAAATAAAAATAGCCTAAGTTACTCCTTATGACAGCAGCTATGTGCCAGCGAAAGTTCCGTCAAAATCGGTCCAGCCATTTCAGAGATTAGCCGGAACAAACAGACAGACAGACAGATCGACAGACAGACAAAAATTTTAAAAATTGTGTTATTGTTATAAGTGACGTAGCAAACAGACACTTCAATTTTATTTATTTGTATAGATAATTGAAGGAGCCTAGCGCCATTTGTTAGTTTAATGAATAATTACTTGGTCTGCTACGTAACTACTGAGTACGCAATACAATAAGTACAGTACAGGTGAAGTCGCAGCGCACAGCTAGTTTGAAAATAAAAATGATTACATAACAATTTAGACAATCTTGTCTCGTCTCGAGTCTCGACCCGAAAGTCCCGGGACTCGAGACAACTAATATTACGAAAAGTCCCGGGACTTCGAGACACGACACGACCCGGGACCCAAACCCTAATTATGAACTATGTCATACGGTTCGTTGTTTATGCGTCAAACAATTGCACTTAATAAAACTTACCTCTCCTACCGCTATTAAATTAGAACTTGGGTTTTAAACAAAAACGTGCCGACGCGCTTTCTACTAGTTGTACTCCGGCTTTGTGCCTATGAAGATGGGCTATGTATAAGAAGACTGAACTACTTTGAAGAAGATCACCCTTCCTATATATTTTTATTCCTATAAGTATGCCTTACCATACATACATACATACATACATATAATCACGCCTCTTTCCCGAAGGGGTAGGCAGAGACCACTTCTTTCCACTTGCTACTATCCTTACATACTTGTTTCGCTTCGTCCACTTTCATTATTCCCTTCATACATGCTCTTCGGTTGAGGATACTCTTAGACCTGGTCTTTTTTCAAGACGTCCCTGATTTGGTCTAGAAACGTCCGCCTAGGTCTACCCCTTCCAACACTTTCATTCACAGTCGCCTTATACACCTTTTTCGTTAATCGTTCTTCATTCATTCTCTTGATATGGCCAAACCATCTCAGCATACCTTTCTCAATTTTTGTCACTACATCTTCTTTCAGACCACAACGTTTTCTTATCTCACTATTTCATATCCTGTCACTCAGCTTAACTCCTATCATACTTCTTAACGCTCTCATCTCAACTGCATTGCAGAAGCTTTCATGTTTCTTCTGCCATACCAAACTTTCACTTCCGTACATGAGTGTCGGAACCAATACCCCTCATGCACAGCCAAACGACCTTGTTAGACACCTTCCGACTGCTCATAAAGGAGTGCAAAGGTCCATTCACCATGTTTCCTGCATTCACTCTTCTTTCGATATCACTCTCACACTTGCCATCTCACGTAAACCCAGATACACAAACTCCTTCACCTGTTCAATTAGTTCATCTCCAATCACAATATTGCAGTCTGTCACTGCCTCATCTCTTTTAAACACTATTACTTTCGTCTTCTTTAAATTCATCTTCATTCCCTTTCTAAAAAAACCTCCACTCATAGCAGTTACCATCTCCTGCAACTGGTTGGCCGAAGACGCAAGTAGTACTTGGTCATCAGCATAGAGAAAACATTTGATGAGTAACTCATTCATTCTCAACCCACTTTCATTCTCTTTTAAATCTATTAAGCAATTGTCCATGAACAGATTAAACAGCCACGGTGACGCTACACATCCCTGTCTAACACCTTTTTCGATAATAAACCATTCAGTGTATGCCCCATTTATCCTTACACAAGCACTAGAATCCCTATAAAGAGATTGCAATGCTCGTATGAGGATACTGCTCACACCGTTCACGGACAGTGCTAACCACAATTCATTCCTCACCACTCAACCCAACGAAACTTATCCCTCCCCCCGCCGTAAATTTGGGACTTATGTTTAAAAACGAAAACGTGCCGAGGCACTCTCCACTAGTTATTGTACTATGTGACTCTTGAGTATCAAGCTCCACTTGTGCTGGTGGAATTCTTGACTAAAATAAGTATTTCAATATGTAGACTGTATATAGGTAATTTATTGGTTGCTATAACAGAGGTAGCCGTAACGCGTGCGTTTGCAACCGGGTGGTTCCAAGCAAGAAGTGCGTTGTAGTGCCGCGTTGTGTCCATGATGGTGATGGGGCCGCAAAGCGGTCGCAGAACCGGTTTAAGGGTCGCTGCCCGACGGTACGAGCCGGGGAGAATAATGGCGCTATGTCTAATAGAAGACTAACTTTATAAGTAAAAGATATAATTGTGTGTGTCACTTTGAAGATCATGATTACACCAATCATCACCACTACCCTGACATTAGTAGTTTCCCGGAACGAGCCATTATCAAGCCATTAGATTAGATTATGCTGTGGCCAACCCCATTGGTTGATTTAAAAGCAATCAGTATAAACACTGTCTATCTTTTGCTATGGATTTCGGTGAAGAAACGCCCGAGTGTGATTTTTTTTTTTTATAAAAAATAGAAAAACAAGTGGTAAAATAAACATTTTGTACAACCGACTTCAATATAAATATAATTAATTGTTGATTTTTTAAAACTGCTCGACCTGGGAAGTATACCCTTTGAAACAAAAAAATTATTTTCCAAATCCGTTCAGGCGTCTTTGAGTACTTAATCAGTGAACATACATAAAAAAAAAACAAAGATTCCGATGAATTGTAAACCTACTTTTTGAACTCGAAAGTTTAAATAAAGAAAGATAGAGGTTCGTTGTAGTCACCTTTAAGGATAAAAAAGGAATGCATCACAGCTTCCTACGTGGTAGAGCCATGCTGCAGCTATATTAGTAGTATAGTTGTAGCACGAATGGGTCGGCTCGACCGGGGAAGGACCACGCTCTCACAGAATACCAGCGTAAAAGAGCAGCTTAACATTGCTGTGTTTCGTATGGTGAGTGTAGAGAACCGAAGACCCTTTTTACTAGAAAAGAGGCATTCCATCTTAGTTCTCACGGGTGACAACGCATCTGCATTTTGATTCGTAAACGAGGATGAATGTAGATGTCTATGAGCCACAGCAACCACTTACCATCAGGTGGACTGTGTGCTCATTTGTCATCCTATCCTATAAAAAAAGAAGCTTGTAATACATTTATTATACTGGCTCTCCATTTAAACTCGAACATAACATGGGATGATGCCTGGCCAAAGATATAATGTATAATAGGTTTGTATATGGGTGCACAGGTTTGTAACTACCCAGGTGGACTCTAAAAAGGGGTTGTAGTGGAAGTTATAATTGGCATATTTACAATGAATCTGGGCCGAGTAGTGGAACGTGTTATAACTCTCTGTTTTAACCCATTAGGCTTCCTTTTCCGGATGCTGGATACATCTGGCGGTGCGGCTTGCCAGGCGAATAACTTCCTACGGGCATTTCGTACGGTACCCGAAGCGGCCGCGCTGGGGCTTATACTTACCGACCGAGCAGACACGCGACCTGATCTTCTAGCGTTAATACAGGTAACTACGTACGACTGCGTGATTTAAAACCTTATACTTTTATACAAAAAAGGTGTCTAACGAGTTCACAGTCCACCTGATAGTAAGTGGATGCAGGGGCACATAAACATCTATATCTATCCTCCATTAAGAATCAAAATGCGGATGCGTTGTCACCCCTGAGGACTAATATGTAATGCCTCGTTTCCAGTAAAAAGCGTCTGCGGTTCTCTACACTCACTTTACGGAACACAGCAGCTTCAAACTTCTGTTTTACGCCGGTATTCTATGAGATCTTGGCCCTTCCCCGATCGAGCGGACCTATTCGAGCTACAACTATAACATCACGTGAAAAAAGATTACATAGCAGCGACAAGATCCAGTAACTCGTAAATTCGGTACCGGGTAAATGTAGACGGGATCAATTCAGTAAATCAGCTTACTGTTATTTTTGGCACTGGCAGCCGTGATTGTGGATTTGGGTGACAATAAGTTTAGTACAAAAATTAAGTGTTTGAATGAAAATATTATTGATGAATTTTTTTTTGAATTTTGACGTGCACCTTTGTCTGTATTTATAAGAACTCTAATGGTCCATAAAAATTCATGTTTTCTATACAACTGCACGAATTAATAGTATAATTGTTAGCTCAGTTAAGCCACATGTTCACTTCAAAACGTAGCGTGGACGAGACTCAACAATGAACTGACAGTGACTGCCCGAATGTAGAAAATTATTGTTAGTCAGGGGAACTGACTTGCGAGCCTGGATATAGCACTGGACTCGGTTGAATCTAATGTCCACACGAGCTCAGTAGCAAGTGAGCGCTGGACTGGTGGGTTACTGTACTGCCATCATGTAAACCATACTGGCCAGAGTACCTTGCTACTACTTCGCGAGTCCTGTGTCGAATCCCAGCCGAAGCATTTGTAAAAACAAATAATTGGTTTTCTGGTATGTTGTTTGTGACTGTCCCCGTGTCTCTGATACATATCCTTATCGTTCTTATCTCCAAAGCATTACATTCACCACGTACTAAGGTAAGTGACGCGAACAGGAGACTATTTTTACTGGTAATCGTAGTCCTCATTGCTGACAAATCTGCATTTTGATTCTTAGTCGAGAATAGATGTATGTGCCTTATCATCATCATCATTACAGCCTTTTACTAGTCCACTGCTTAATATAAGCCTAGCCCAAGGAATGCCACAAATCACAGTCATGAGCCACCTGCATCCATCGTTTTCCTGCATCTCTTACAACTTGCAAGAGCAACTTACAGCTGACAACCTAGTGTCACTCCATCTAGTGAGGGGCCGCCCTACACTTCGATAAATATTATATTTTTCTTTTTTGAGAGATCGGTATACATCAGGTTATACCGGGATCTATCAGAAGTCATAAGATCTTTCTAGCATTACCTATTGTGTCCTTCGAAATTCCACAAAATAAAATGAGACGAATTGTCTTACGTACTAATACGCTTACTAAACAAAGCGATAGTGTTTTATTTCTTAGTATATAGCGGTCATAAAAGTGTTGACGATGGTAACATAGTACTTTATTGAAACGTTCAATTATCTTCCAACGTACGCAAAGGAGAAATCTGAAATGCTGTGACCACCTCTTTTAAGCCAGGCGTAAAATATCCAGCCTGGAGATGGGAGCATGACAACAATGACAAATCCTCCCTATAACGTCAGTGTTCAGATTACCGAACTACTTTTGAGGTGAGGGGAGCAGGGGAACCGGTATGCTGGTGGCTAACCGCGGCTCGCTTCGAGTTAGCTTACGCCCTTGAAAGTAAGTCTACTGAAGGCAGTAATTCGTAATTTGTACATGTACCTTTTATTGCTCAGTTATACCATTTATACAAAATTACGGTCACTTATTTAGACAACTTTAAGAACAAAACAGGCACAGGCCCAGAAGCCTATAACTAGCTATGTGGAATTTTTCGCGCTCGGCATTCTTCAACAGTTCACAAAATTGCCTAGAAATTTCATCGTAAGTAAATTTAAAAATGTTAATCGTCAAAACCAAAATAAAAATCACACTTTCCCTATGGACTTCATATAAAATTAATTCTTGTACCTGAACAATCTTACAAAATATTTCAGAGTTGGAACCGTTTCATCCTGCATCAGATTCACTATGAAATACTGGAGACGAGAAAAAAAGAAAAGGAACTGGCGATGCTGTCGCAAAACTCTAGTCCGCCTAAGGTTGTTCGAGTCAACACAAACAAAGTACAAATGGGAATCAATGGCCAATACAGGGAGGAATATCAATATACTGAAATTGAATTCATGGGGCCAAAAATTGAGTATGGTAAAGATGAAAGGCAGGGAGAGGACGGCTGGAAGCTTACTGAGGATGGTTTGTTTCACTTTAGTTTTCTTTATAACAACTTAGGGTAAAAAGCGAACACACATCCCTTGATAGACAGACACACCTACATTTATCCTCGTTTAAGAATCAGAATGCAGATGCGTTGTCACTTCTGAGTACTAAAATTGAATGATACGATACTACTAAAATGGGTCTCTGGTTCTCGTCACCAACTAAAATATCCTCAGTAGCATTATACTGCTAATTTACGCTGGTATTTTGTGAGCTATCCCATGGTCAAAGTGACCCATTCTTGTTGCAGCCGTAATACAGTTGGAGCTAGGATTTACCATGTTAAACAACTGCAGCCATCGACCAATAGGGTCGGAACCCAGTCTCAGTTTGTCATTTAACTGCTTCTATTTGAGTATCACGCCTGTAAGAAATGAACTCCAGTTACCCAGTAGTCATCCATCCATTATAGCCTATAAAAGTCCACTGCTGAACTTAGGCCTCGCTCATAGATTGCCTCGTAACAGGGATTTTGCAATAGTTGCCACGCTTAGCAAGCGGGTGGGCAACCGCATTTTTTATAATTTGAGCAGTTATCAAGATGATGTTGCCCATCTCCTGGTTTGTTTTCCTCTTGCGCTTCTTACGACGCCCACTGGACGATATGGGGTAGTGGATATTCTTACACCGCCACTACACGGGAACTCCAGTAGAATGATAGACAAAACGTCAAATGGACTAATGTGTAAAGGTGGCCAACGTTCCCAGATTTCATAGGATAGTTAGTAGTTCTAACAACAGTTATGGTAACTTTTTAATTCCCGACGTTTCATTTTTAGAGTTGCGTACCCAAAGGGTAACCAAAGGGACCCAATTACTAAGCCACCGCTGGCCGTCCGTCCGTCCGTCCGTCCGCCTGTCTGTCTGTCTGCGGGCTGTATCTCATGTAATCTGTAATAGGTAGTCAGTTACATTTTTTCAACAGAATGTGTATTTCTGTTGCCGTTATAACAACAAATAATAAAAATAAAATAAAAATTAAAGGGGGCTCCCCTACGTAGAAACGTGTTTTACGGTGGTACGGAACCCTTCATGCGCGAGTCCAACTCGCACTTGGCCGGTTATTTTTACATTCTTCTTGAGATCTCTTTTTTATTGATAAGACCAACTTATTACACCTCTTAAGTTGTTCTTCCTGTAATTTGTTTTTTTTTTCGTGTTCTGTGGTTTGCAATAAAGTACATATAAACTGTACATATATAGGTACATTTTGATATTATTTAATATTCATTGCCTATTTGAAGGTAACTGTGCATCAGAACAAGTTCAAAATTGTGATCAAGAGCTTTCAAGCAAACATGCTGAACGGGAGGAATCTGAAATATCGCAGCTGTTTGCAATCGGCCGGCATCAGCTAAATCGGTGTTTGAAATGCAATAAAGAGGCAAGTTTTGTTTATGTGTTTTCATAGCCATACCTACTTTAAGGTCACCTTAATCTAGTAACAAATTATTAGCCGACTAGACAACAGCCAATTTAAATATTGTAGACACGTTGTCACCTCGTAAGATGAAATGTCTAATAGAAGATGAATTAATGTCGTAAGATGAAATGTTGTCATACTGGCTGGATCTATTATTACGAAAAAGCTCAGGTATAGTATAGTATTGGATTTTTATTAAAGCATCAAATTGGCCAATTAAATCTTATTGCGTAAAAATTATATGGGTTTTGACTTTACCTTATGACGATCGAAATTAATCACAATTTATGTTTTTTGTACATATATATATATATATATATATATTGTTAAGAAATATGATTATTTTTAACAATATTATTATTGGTATTATTGGTAACAACATTATTTACATCTCACAACACAGTAACTTATTAGTATAAGGTTATGTGCTATGCATACCTTCTCAGTATCTTCTTTTAGGTAATCACAATTCTTTTTTCATTAGCCCAAATTTCAATGCTGGACAATGGCCTCCCCCGTTGTAAGGATTAATAATAATTGGATTATGTTTAGCAGGCAGATTGACGAACACAGTATCAGACGTCTGCCAGCCCTTCGCCGCGCCGGTCTGCATATTTTACTTTTAGCGTAAAAGAGATACCGCTATCTATAGGAAGCCAAAAAATCTTTTTGGTATATTCGATAGTCGTGTCTTACCGCACTCACGGGACAAAATGGGGTGATGAATTGTTTGCGGACACAATCACCAGTGTGGATGGAGATTAGGCTTTTTTATGATATGTATTAATTTAATACTCTAGAAAGTGATAAACTTTTATTAAAAACCAACTTTTCGATTAAATTATACAATGTAATAAAAAAAACTACCTCAGTGTCAACTAGCGACATCTAGTGAGCAGAAAAGTATTAGCCATCATTAATGGGTGCAAAACAAGCCACTATATCTATTCTATATCTATATTTTGCACGTCTATGATATTGCACTTACGGTTAGGTGGACTGTGTGCTGGTTTGTCACCCATAAAAAAAAATCGGGTTGTGGTTGTGTCGTGGATATGGTCGTGTGTTTTACGTGAATACGTGTACGCAACGAAGCGATCTAGTAATGGCGGCGTTCCCTCCTCTGCCGAGCATACTGTACCTAGTTAAATTTTGGATGTAGATGATAGTATCTAGATGATAGTATAGATATGTAGTTGCAACACCTAACTGTGTCCCCGATTTTGCTATAAACAGTTTTCTGAATTGCTTTTTTATGAAATAAGGGTGACAAACGTGGATACAGTCCATCAGGTAAGTCCATCAGGTAGTGCTATGGCCCATAGACATCTACATTTTAATGAATCAAAATGCAGATGAGTTGTTACCCCTAAGTACTAAGATGGAATGCTTCGTTTCCAGTAAAAAGGGTCTCCGGTTCTCTATACTCACCATAAAAACCGCAGCAACATTAACCTGCTATTTTACGCCTATATTCTGTGAGAGCGTGGTCTTTCCCCGGCCATACATCCACTTACCTTCAGGTGAACTGTGTGCTCGTTTGTCACCCTTATTTCATAAAAAAAAGCAATTCAGAAAAATAAATAAATACTGGTGGTGAGTTCGTGTAACGATGAGGAGCGGTGGTGGTGGCGCAGGAGGAGCGCGAGTCGGTGGTGCTGGCGTGCGCGCTGCAGTACCCGGGCGCGGCGGGCGGTGCGGGCGGTGCGGGCGGTGCGGGCGGTGCGGGGGGCGCGGGCGGCGCTGCGGGCGCGGGCGAGGCGCGCGGCGGGTTCGTGGAGCTGGTGCGCGCGTCGCTGGCCGCGCGCCGCAGCACGCCCGCCTGGTGCGACGCCTGCGCGCGCTTCACGCCCACCGCGCAGCGCGGCCGCCTCGTGCGGTAACAAAACTCCTTACATCAATACCAAATTTATCATAAGCTGAAAAGGTTATCCCCGCGTCATCATCTCATAATATACACATAAATTACATGAACGCTTTTTATTGTTATACTGTAAATCGTTTGCTTACTGCGCCATCATTAAAGAATATTATTTAAAAGAACTTAATGTAAATTATAAAATTGTGATCTCTAACGATTTTTCGTTGTAATCATCATTATAGCTAGGGGAAAGTTAACTGCGAACATGAAGGAGAGTATCAACCCGCACACTACATCAAAAAATAATCAAACAACGAAAGCATTCGACCTAGATATCTAGGTCTTAAATGAAGGGAGTAGCCATACCCAGGCGATACCCTCTGTCAAATTATAATGTCCGTATTAATAAATGTTCCCATACGACGAACTCAAGTGTGTAATAATTTCATACGTCATTACGATATTAGTATGCTAAGATCGTTAATAATTGATACACAAGATTTGATTGGTGATTGATATACTCTTTGTATATCAATCACCAGAATCAGCCCCTCAAGACACTGTACTTAAGATAGTGGTATCTGACTTAAATGCTTGATCTCGTGTACAATTACTTAGCATTGACAAATGGATACATCACCTACAGATATTCCACACATAATGTCTACGAATTTCCTTTAAAATAAATTATTGTGATAATATCACTTACACAGGTTGTTCTATTTAATTTCAAACTTCAAGCGCTCTTAGTGAAAATCCCTATATTTAATTTTATATTTCATTACAATAATTAATTTCACTCAAAATATTTTCAAACTCCGTGATGGGCCCTGCACTTTGATTTTAGCATCCTATTGTGTACTTGAGAGTTGAGTTTGGTTTATTAAACAGGGCGTCACGCAGCTGGTAAACCGTAAACCTAAGCCGCAACTTAAAGTGTGTTTCTTAATATGATCATAACCTCAAGACTGTTTCCAAGTGCGAGCACTTCAGCCGCTTTAGATTATTTGTATCTACATATTGAGTTGAGTAGTAAAATTTTTCATTCATTAAGTCGTATTTAAAATACGTACACAATAGTTTAAACAATTTAAAGCTTTCTTACGCAGAAAACAATTTTATAACGTGTAATGATAATTATGATAATATTCTAAACTTCTGTCAATGTTACGTAATCGTTTACGAAATCAAGCACTCTAGTCACAGAACGCTATCTCAGGAACAGCGTCTTGAGGAGTTGATCTTTGTAACTGGGATATGAATTAGCAACATCTAATGAGGGTATCAAATGTGTAATCATTTGAGTTCGTTGTTGGGGAACGTTTATTAATACGGACCTAAGAGAAGAAAAAAGCAGACACATTTTAGTAATTTGTTACTGGGAAGTTATATGTATATTTTTCAACAAATCACTATATGTTGATGCGTTACATCTTAAATTAGCAGACAGTCAATGAAAATAGTATTTCAAAGAGATTACGCAGACAAAACTGCTAAAAGAGGTTTAAATTATTAAACAAGTTGATTAAACAAGTGTTCATCATCGGGACACGTGGTTAATCGTTTCCACTAATTATTATTATTGATGCTACGTCACTCACTCAGATCAAATCACTTTTTGCAGATTACCTCCAATATTAGCTATCAACTGCGGAGGAGTAACGGCACACGAAAAATCTTACTGGTCAAAAGGCACGCCAAAAGACCTGGTAGTACTAATTTTTATACAAATTATATAAAACTTGAGGCTTTCATAAACTATAAAATAGTAAATTTTTTGGGTTGTCAATATTTTTAGTTAGGCTTATTAAAAACAGGTTACAAAATTTTATTTACTTCTTTTTTGAGCTGTACGTCCTAATTGCTGTTGCTATTAAACTTAGTAGGGAAATTAAAATTAAATCGCTTACAGCCCGAGGCAGGGAAAAGAGGCGGCAGCGGCAAGCCGTGTCGTTACGGCTTACATTGCGCTAGACCAGGTTGTCGTTTCAAACATCCAGACAGGTAAAAAATATATATATTTTTATTTTACAAAAGAGGTTTCAACTCTCAGACATTTTAAACCAAAATGCTCCAAAAAATACCCATTACTTATTCCTGTTACTTTTCCCTTTATGAAATTTGTGTAATGTCAATATTGTTTGCAACTCCGAGAGTTCACTTGCAGGGATTGAATGTTACATGGCATTAAGTGTGCCTAATATCCTCATAGGTAAAAATATTTACATTTAACCATAATTGGTCATAGCAATAATGTCTCTTTATAATGGGAGGAGAGGCCCATGTCCCTTCGAGGACTTTTACGGGCTTATGATGATGAAGAAGAAGGGTGAACGATGTTTGCCATGTTGGCTGCATTGGGATAATTCATTCATACTGCAACCATAAAATAGAGCGTGGCTCTACCACGTAAACGTGATGTTGATGATTAATATGCCATAGTACATGCTCTTGATTATTTAACAGACCTGCATCGTCACCATCTGGATTATTGAAGAGTCCACCGCAAGAATCAAACTGCATTTTACCACTGCAGTTACTTATACGGCTGCAGTCTGATGGAGACGTCGTTATCAACGATAAGGTAATGGCATTAAATTACACATAAACACGCGCACACACACACACACACACTCACACACACACACACACACACACACACACACACACACACACACACACACACACACACACACACACACACACACACACACGCACGCACGCACGCACGCACGCACACACACACACGCACATACACCACACACCATTCGCGCGCGCAAATCTGAGGGTGCAAGGTCAGGACTATATGGTGGATGCATTAACGCTTACGAACCAAGCTCTCTCAATTTTTACTGAGTGGCCAAAAACGTATGTGGTCTGGCGTTATCATAATGAAAGGCCACTCCTTTTCTGTTGATCAATTTCGATCTTTTCTCTTTGATCGTTTTTTCTTAATATCTTGCTTGAATCTCATAAGTAATGAGTTGGCAGTAGAGATCCGAATCGATGGTTCAAAAATGATTCTGTTTCATTACGTTTCAATTGAGAATCGCAAATGAGTACACGATTCATTACGTTTCTTTCAGTGAGCTCATGTGGTACCCAAATATCGAGCTTTTCTGTATAGTCAGACTTTCATTTGGGTCAAAACTGTTTTGTGGTCAAAAACAACTATAAAAATAATTGGGAATGGCATAACATATATAGATGTTATAGGTGAGATTATAGGAATAGATGGATATTATAGGAATTTCCGCCGTGTAGTGGCGGTCAAGAATATCCACTACCCCATATCTTCCCGTGGGTGTCATAAAAGGCGACAAAGGGAAACAGGCAGGAGATGGGCAGCAGCATCTTCCTGGTAACGGAAAAAATACAATAAAAAACTGCGGTTGCCAACCCGCTCGCCAAGCGTGGCAACTATGGCAATATACCCCCCATGATGAAAGTTACGAAGAGACGGCCCCCAGTCCCCGGCGGCCCCGCTATTCCTGGCTACGGTGGCGACTATGGTAACGGCGGGGCAGGGGTGCTAAGAATCTCAGGTGGAGGTTCGGTTGCCACCTTACGACTCGACCTGGCAACTTACAACGCACGCACCCTGAGGACTGACGAGAAGATCGTGGAGCTGGAAGAAGAGATAGACAAGTTACGCTGGCATATTATAGGATTATCCGAAGTCCGAAGAGAGGGGGAGGACATGGTAATCCTCGAATCCGGCAACTTGCTCTGTCACCGGGAGGGCGACCATCTGTCCCAAGGAGGTGTCGGATTTATCGTCCACGAGTCTCTCGTTAACAACGTTGTAAAGATCGAGAGCGTGTCGACGAGGGTATGCGTACCTCATACTCAGAATCACCAAACGGTATTCGCTGAAGGTCATACAGGTTTAGGCACCAACCTCGGCTCACCCCGATGAGGAGGTGGAGGAAATGTATGAGGATATCTCTAGAGCCATGCATTCCTCCAAAACCCAATATACGGTGTTAATGGGAGACTTCAATGCAAAACTAGGCACAAGAGAGAACGGTGGGCTGAAAGTAGGGAAATTTGGAATAGGGCAACAGAACCCAAGGGGCCAGCAGCTTTCTTCCAGAAGCGGCCCCTCAGGAAGTGAACCTGGTCGAGCCCCGACGGTTCGACAAAAAATGAGATTGACTTCATTATGACGACCAGACGACAACTGTTCAGTGATGTCTCCGTGATCGCGAGGGTGAAAACTGGCAGCGATCACCGAATGGTTAGAGGCACACTGAACCTAAACGTTAAGTTGGAGAGGTCTCGTCTAATGAAGTCAACGCTCCGTTCCCCTCGTGCTCTGTTCCAAAGTCCTGAAACCTTTCAGATCGAGTTACAAAACCGTTTTCAGTGTTTAGAAAACTGCAATGGAGTGGACGATATGAATGACAAACTCGTGGAAACTGTCCATGCGGTCGGAGCTAAGTTCTGCAAGACCCGCCGCAGAAGAACACAAAAACTCTCCGATCACACTCTCAATCTTATGGCAGTTAGATGGAAGATGAAGCTACATTCTTCAACAGATTTGACAGCATACAGGCAACTGAACAGACAGATCTCCAAATGCATGCGGCGGGACTTACGCAACTTCAGCTTCATACAGCTTGTATTGAAGAAGCGATCGAGCAGAACCAAGGCTCCAAAGTCTTTGCCAGAGATCTGCCTGCCAGAAAGAGCCAACTGTCAAAGCTGAAGACCGAGTGTGGCAGCATCGTTTCCGGGGCACCTGAGATTTTGAGTGAGATTGAGAGGTTCTATGGGCAGCTGTACAAGTCATCGTTGGAGCCACACGCAAGTGTGAGTAACGATTCAAGAGCGAGTCTTATCCGACACTATTCCGAAGATATCCCGGACGTCAGTCTGAGCGAGATTAGAATGGCTCTCCAGCATCTTAAAAACGGCAAGGCCCCAGGCGAGGATGGAATAACAGCGGAGCTTCTGAAAGCGGGTGGAAAACCGGTACTTGAAGTCCTTCAGAAGCTCTTTAATTCCGTCCTCCATAGTGGCATTACACCGGAGGCGTGGAGCAGAAGTGCGGTGGTCTTGTTCTTCAAGAAAGGTGACAACGCTGTCTTGAAGAACTAAAGATCGATTTCCCTTCTGAGCCGCGTCTACGTGCTGTTTTTGAGAGTCATTACGAATCGTCTCGCGCACAGACTTGACGACTTCCAGCCTCCCGAACAAGCCGGTTTCCGAAAGGTCTTTAGTACCATAGACCACATACATACCCTTCGGCAAGTTGTACAGAAGTCCGAGGAGTACAATTTGCCACTATACCTGGCGTATGTGGACTATGAGAAAGCCTTTGATTCCGTCGAAATTTGGGCGTGCTGTAGTCCCTTCAGCGGTGCCAAGTTGACTGAAGTGCTTGTACAGTAGGGCTACGATGGCTATCCGAGTACAGAACCAGAGCACGAAACCTATCCAATTGCAGAGAGGTGTAAGACAGGGTTACGTTATATCCCCGAAACTCTTCACCGCTGCATTGGAAGACGTTTTCAAGCTTCTGGACTGGAAAGGATACGGTATTAACATCAATGGCGAGTACATCACTCACCTTCGATTTGCCGACGATATAGTCCTTATGGCATAATCGCTGGAGGATCTAAGCACCATGCTCAATGACCTCAATAGTGTCTCCCAACGGATAGGTCTTAAGATGAACATGGACAAAACAAAGATGTCCATGTCACACCTATGCCGGTAGTTGTTGGGAGCACTAAGCTCGAAGTTTTTGACGAGTATGTTTACCTGGGACAAACAGTTCGACTAGGTAAGTCCAACTTCGACCGTAAGGTCAATCGACGGATTCAACTCGGCTGGGCATCGTTCGGGAAACTACGACACATCTTCTAGTCAGACATACCTCAAAACCTTAAAACAAAATTGTACAACCAGTGCGTGTTGCCAGTGATGACTTACGGATCTGAGACGTGGTCCTTCGCTGCTGGCCGTATGAGGAAGCTCAAGGTCGCTCAGCGAGCTATGGAGAGGGCTATGCTCGGGGTTTCTTTGCGTGATAAACTTAGAAATGAGGATATCCGCAGTAGAACCAGAGTGACCGACATAGCCCAACGGATTAGTAAGCTAAAGTGAACCGACAACCGATGGGGAAGAAAGGTTCTTGAGTAGCAGCCTTGTATCGGTAGGCGAAGTGTAGGGCGACCCCCCACGAGATGGAGTGACGACCTGGTAAGACATGCAGGAAGTCGATGGATGCAGGTGGCTCAGGACCGTGCTTTGTGGCATTCCTTTGGGGAGGCCTATGTTCAGCAGTGGACTTATGAAAGTCTGTAATGATGATGATGATGATAGGAATTTCAAGATTAAATTTAACATGACTGTCACTTGACTTAGCATTATCCATTTTTTTTTTAGTTTTCTATTGTAGAAAATAATTTTTTACTAAGCCCACACCTTCGACAATAGATTCAGTTTCTGGAAAACTGGAGATCTTTAAAAACCCATTGTCGTATGTCATTAGGGATGCAAAAAACTACATCTAATTATATGCCCTCAAAATTATTATTCATGAAATTGTGGATACTGGGCAATTTAAGTCTGGCAGGTGAGATCTAAATGGAGTGACGAACTGGTAAGAGATGCCCGAAAATCGATGGATTCAAATGGCTAAGGATCGTGCTTTGTGGTATTCATTGGTGGAGACTGACATCTAACAACTAATCGTAATCCTTTGGACAGGTTTATGCAATGCTGGACTGTTATTGCTTAATCTTCTTTATGTTTAGAGCGAAATAAGCGTAGAACTGAACCGGGTTGAAGCAAACAAGCACAAAAAGAAACAAGTGAACACTCAGTCAGAAGAGGAGTACTGTTTGACCGCTGCTGTTGTGTGTGTGGAGGACAATCCAAAGAACTTGGTCGCTTACATTCAAGTCGCCACAGACAACGAACCGCGGTGGTATCTCTTCAACGATTTGAGGTAATTATACTTTAGTATATCTTTTGAATGGATGATAGTATTTATGCTGTGTAGTGCCGTGTAGTGACGTCGTAAGGAAATGAAATAGGAGATGGATAGCAGAGTCTCACTAATAACCACTAACACTAATAATACTAATACTAATACTAATAACCACTAATAACCTACCGCTGCTAATCCGCCTGCCAAGCGTGCAACTATGGCAAATATATCCCCTATGAAGCAAATTATGGGGGGAGAGTCGACTTTTGATAGGCTGTAGTCTCTGTCTGTCTAACGTGTCTGTCTGTGTAACGGTTTAAGAAATAAGTATAAACATTATCATATTTCAAGTGATCTTTAAATAGGATAGTACTCTGAAGCAATTATGCTCACTGATAGACTAGCACAGTTTAAATATTTGGCATTTGTTATTCTTTATCTATATAATATATAATCTTAAATAATACTAGTTTTATTTCATTTTAACGAGTATACTATCTTATTTTATATTCCCGACGTTTTGAGCACTTTACAGTACCCATGGGCACGGGGGTAATGAGGTGTTTGATGGCCTAATGAAAATTATAAATGTTTGTTCCGATCTACGCAGTATGAACTTACAGTATCTTGAAGTCTAGATTTAATTTTATTAATTATAGGATACCAATCAGATGGTAGCGCCCAGCTATCTTCTCTATTGAAATTAGGATGTTTTTTGATTTCAATAGCCTCGTGAATCATCCTTGGAAGCAATCGGTGTTCTTTAGCGCGGATTTGTGGTCTATCAAATGTAATGTAGTGACGGGGGTGATCCTGTACGTGTTCACAGACTACAGACTGCCCGGAGCGTCGATTCTTCACATCAGCTATGTGTTCTTTAACGCGGGTTTTTATGGATCTTTTGGTTTATCCTATATAAGAGAGACCACATTCACAATTAAGCTAGTACATTCCTTCACCTTGCAGAAAGACATACACTTGACTGATGGTAAAAACTGACTAATCTTCATCGACGGCTTGAAGTATGTTTTAATGGAAGCACGCTTCAAGGCGTAGCCAATCTTGTCAGTAACAACTCTGACATATGGCAGTACAGCAGGCACTCGCTCGACTATGGCTGGCTTCACTCGTTCACTGTGACGTAGGCGCGTGACCTGAAGCTTGTTGTTGTGCAAAACTTGCTTGACTTCTTGGGAGTTCGGCGGCCAGGTGCTAACTGTCACAGATCCCTCGTGCCTCGTGGTGTCACCGTTCAAATATCTATATGCATGGGTTATGTTTTCTATACACGGTGTGGCTCAAGGAGTTATCAGGATTATGAATTACTAACACATCTAGAAAAGATAAAAAATTGTTTGCCTCTAACTCCATTATGAACTGAATTTCAGAATTTATGGAGTTAATGTGGTCTAAAAATCCAGTTACTTTATCTAAAGGTAGAATTGTGAAAGTGTCGTCTACATACCACTTCTAGAATCTTGGATTTACGGGAGAAGTTAGCAGGGATTTCTCTTCAAAAATTTCGATGAATATCATATTGCAATAATATTCATGGAATCTTATATTTGATGAATATCATATTCACCATGGATGCTTTGAAGTGCTCGAAACGTCGTGAATATAAAATAAGTTTATATACGCTATAAAATCCGCAAAAACTACTTTTATTTAAATGTGTAGTGTTCGCATAAATATAAGAAATCATTAACTATCTAATCTATTTTTTTAAGTATAATCACAGAATAAATAATAGTACAAGAACAGAAGGATCATCCCTCTGATAGTAAACATGAGAGTTTAAACCTAGTTACAACTTCGCTAATGTTTATAATACTTTGCACGCCTCGAACACGACCTTCGTCAAATTAGCCTACCGATTATATCGTAAAAAAATTAATGCGGCGCGAGTATTCAATCTAAATGCACCTTACTTATAGACTACTTACTTAGAGTCTGTATCACTTAGCCTGTTACGCGCCTTTGTTAAGGCCGCACCTACGGTAGGGTCAGGTGTTGTGATAAAACAAATTGAATCCTTTGATATTAGTTGGTAGTAGAATACACCAAGGGAACATTATTGTTCAATGTGAGGAAGGTTAATATGCAACATAGAGAAAAATTAAGATTATAACAACGTGAACGTCTTTGAATCTCAAATAATTTAGCTACTTACCATTTTTAACCGACTTCAAAAAGGGAGGAGGTACTCAATTCGACTGTATTTTTCATGTGTGATACCTCAAAACGTTTTCCTAGGTGAACCGATTTTGATGATTCTTTTTTTATTTTAAAGCTGATGCCTATAATTTATATATCCCATATAAATTTGATCGAGATCTGACCAGTTAGTTTTATATATAATGCGTATTAATATTAAAGTCGGTTGTATACATTTTTTAATTGCATTACTTGTCTCTCTTTCTCTCTTTTTTAAAAAACGTTACCTCCACACTAGGATTTTCTCCTGTATTGCGGGAGCAGTTTACATACATAGATTTCACAAGGACAAACATCGAAACCCAGAACAATTATTTGTAGGCCATACAAATATTAGTTCCGTGCGGGATTCGAACCCGCGGTCCTTAGCGCTGCAACTCATTGCAAAACCACTGCGCGACGGAACCGTCACTTGTCTGTTTCACATTTTTTGCTATTGTGACACGTGACGGTATTATTAATGAAAGAGTGGTAATGAGAAGTTCTGCTATTTTCAATCTCTTTCTTTTATCGACCAAGTGTTAAACAAATAACCAGTATATGCTATGTAGGCAGTCACTGGTACTGGGAGGTCTACTTACACTGATTGATTTTTAAGGTTATTGGAGCATTATACGCGAAAAACCCGGAAATTCCAAGCTGTGGTCGGGTCGCTGATTAAATAATAAAACTGTGGCGTCAGTAACTAGGTACCTAATTATCTAGATCTACTTATATATAATAATATCTTACTTTTCGGTATCCTTAGGAATAGTAGAGAATGAAAAGTCGACATTCCTCTTGTTATTTAAGCACCCATACAGTACCGTAGTACCTTTTGATTTTTGAGATGCCATACTTGAATATAAACTCAAAAATAAATATTCTAAGTTCCTAAATACTTATTAGAGAAAAATAATTTTTTGTTAACGTAAGGCGCTTGTCAGCTCGAGTGCGTGCGTGACAACCTCACGGATTTAGTCTCTCGTAGGCGGTCGCGCAGCGTAGGTATATTTTCATACTAAAGCGCGGAGTGAGACAGACCTGGTATAATAATGGAATGAAAAAAAGGCTACAAAATCTACCTGATGGTAAGTGGACTACTTTACAGTAGTCAAGTAGACAACTGCAACGATTGTTACTTCTGAGGACTAAGATAGAATGCATCACAGCCTGTAACTATACTGGCTTTCTATATCCTTCAGAATGGAACACTGCGGTAAGTGCACTGCTGATTGCGTTAGAAATAGATGAAAGAGTTGTACCACCAACCCAGTAAAGTAACAGCCTATTTAACTGTCCCACTGATGAACAGAAGCCTCATGTGATTTCTGAAAGGGCTTCTTTAGCAAAGCGTGTTGGCGCACTTCACTTGTCTTCGTAAGATTTCTGTATTTCATGACTATTTTGTTTCAAAGTATGTGGTAAATCAGCACTCAAAACTGCTATTATCATTTTTATTAATGGATCGAACTCTGATTGCTTGATTACTATATAATTTAAAATTAAAAGTTTTGTACAGCAGACTTCAATATAAGTTATTAAGAATAACTCAAAAACTATTGGTCTGACCTTGATCAAATTCATATGGCACCACACGAGAAGTATCAGCTTTCATATAAAAAAATAGTCATCGAAATCGGTGCACTCAGGAAAAAGTTATGAGGAAACACATACAGTCGAATTGAGTGCCGTCTCCTTTTTGGAAGTCGGCAAAAATATAAAGATGGTTGCTTATTTTCCTCTGTTCTTTCTGAGCTCTCCCGTTTTACAATGTAGAAAAATTATGCAAAATTAAGCTTACCGTGTAATGGATTAACTTTTAGAAGATTTGACTTCTTGACCAATATAGAATCTTAACTCGTAGAATTATTTATTTTATTTATTTATTTATTTATACTCTTTATTGCACATAAAACACTACACAACATAGCAAACTTAAAAATTATAGATTTTTTCTCCAATTTTTTTTCTAGCATTGTACCCGTCAGCGCCGACGAAGTGGTACAGTTTAGCGCGTGGTGGAAATCGCCCTGCGTCTTGTTCTATACATCGAGTAACGCGAGAAACGTCCACGAAGAACCCATTCAGACCTCATAGCCCCTGTTCATGTATGGGCCTTACAGCGATGGGTGAGTTCATCCGTAAATATTATTTATTATTTCGCTTACTTTTGAATTTAACCTTATTTTTTATCGGCTCTATACAGTACACTGCTGGATAATGGATATGGCCTCCTACAGTAAGGAGAACTTCGTCCCCACCCATATTTCGTTTCGTGGGTTTCGTAAATGGCGATTGTGGAACAGTTCAGAAAGAGCTTATGGTTGTCAATAGATGGCGGAATAAAATAGTATATATGCCAGATTTGAAATGTAAGCTACAGTTAAATTTTATACAAATGTAGAAATATTTTATGTTTATAAATTTAACAGTTAAGAAGCTAAACAGTGTTTACATTCGTAGAAAATGCGTTTGGAACTGATTGTAACATATTTATTTTATTTTATAGTGTAAGTGCGACTATCGAGCACAGAGTCCACCAGATTAAGTACATGCTGTGGTCCATAGACAGATGTAGATGCGTTGTCACCCACGAGGATTACGAGGGAATGGATCGTTTCCAGTAAAAAAGGGTCTCCGGATATTTATACTCATGCTGCTATTTTACGTTGGTATTATGATATTATGTTGATATAAAGCTAGCAATTCAAACATGAATTTAATGTTGTGTACGACTATTAGCTGCCTTTACACGACACGGTCTTTCATTCGCGATCGGAGTGTACGTGATTGAACGCAGGAAAGCTTGCAGAAAAAAAATTCACTCACGCTTGTGCGCAAGCGTGAGTGAATTTTTTTATCGATAGATTTTTTTTATCCATTTTTATGTGCGTTGACTCTTTCACGCGTTATTACTTCTCTAATTTCATTTAGAGAGGAAAGAGCGCCGTGTAAAGGCTAATCGAGTGTGATTCAGTACGGGAACTTCCGCGACCTGGAGTGTATGAAAATCACGCAGTTTTGTTAAACGTGCGTTCTGAAGACTAGTGTTCTAAAGAAATTGACAAAAGGAATATTTTACAAGCAGTTATGTTTGCTAGTGTGAGGGTATTATATATTTATTAGTTTATTTGTATGTATTATTTTTAATATATTATTAAATAAAATCAAACGTAAGATGGCATGCATGAGACTTGTACATATGTATGTTGCCAAGAATTCTGTAAAAAGGTCCTTGCTGCATAATTTAATATCCGTCAGTTTACGACGACAATCGTTTTCACAAAACCGTGCGTGTATATTATGTTTGAATCGCATAGACTTGAACGCATCACTGAGGTATAAGGAGATACGCGAGCGGGCGGCGCGCACGTGTATTCCCGTTCTCCATTTCTATCTTTACATGCGCGTTCTTTGCCGCGCGAAAGCCGATTCACGCGTCAAAGAGCAAGAGCGTATGTGTAAAGGCGGCTATTTGTTTGAGTATCTATATTAAGTAATAAGTATATTAAGTATAACATTGTCTTTTCTGATTATTTTATATACTTAGTGTTTGTTTTATTAAATAAATAAGTTGCAAGTGTATAAATGACTATTGAATGCAGTCCCACCCTTATTTAGAGTCAAGTATTGATGTTTTATCATTTAAAAATAGTAATATAAAATTAATTTATTCACAGAGTTATGGGCCCATACGATCTACACGATATGTACTATCAAGTCGTCAGCGAGAGATACTACAGTTACGTCGAATGAATCCGCTACCTTGGAATTTAACGTAGGCTTCTTTTAATTTTTGCTTAGATGAATGAAACTTGAGTGTTGTGGTTAGGTTGGCAATGGATTCAAAAGGGAGCGGAAATGACGCTCCTATCTATATCAGTATGTCTAAAGAGAATTCCACTATTTTTAAAATCTATATTTTAAGATGAACTAATTTAAATGTGATTGATTGTTAGAAGATTAAGATATTTGTCTGATGACGATTTAATTATAAAAATTATACTTCGAAACGTACTTAAACGATTAGATGGCGTTTGTGATTATAAAAAGGCAACAAGACAAAAAAATAGAAATAGAATTGTTAAAGTTGACAAGATAAAGCCATTTATATAAGCCGCCTTAAATAGTTTACCTATACAAAGAGAAATAATTTATTTTTATATAATAAACATCTCAAATATCGATTTTGATATGAATGCAGATGAAAAGCTTCCGTACCGACATATTTTTATTACGACGAATGGAAAATTGTATTTATGCGAACAAATCGATATATTTTGCAGTCTTAATTTGTCTTCTTATTGAAGAATCATACGAGTTTTATAAAAGGCAAAAACCATAAAGTGCATACAGATCTTTTTAAAAATACACTTTGTAATGTGTACAAATTTTAAAATTGGCAATAATGTGTACCGGATATCATTGGATTGTAATGGTGGTGTTATCAAATTTTAATGATAATTTTAAAACTATTTAAATTATGGTATTGATTTTATAAGTAGAAATCTTTTACAGAAGTACCAACTTTACGAAATTTTTACATGATCTTTAACACGATCAGTATTTTTGATTCTCATATTTTTTTGTAACTTAACCTACTATATTATTTTAACGCAACTTGGTGGCTGGTAATTTTAATAAAATGAAAATAAATTATGACGTGTTTTATTGCTTTATATTGTATATACCTATGACCTTTGGTTTATCATCATCATTACAACCCTTCACAAGTCCACTGCAGAAACATTGACCTCCCCCATGGAATGTCAAAGCACGGTCCTGAGCCTCCTGCATCTATCGACTTCCTGCTTTCTTACCAGGTTGACGCTCTATCAAATTGGAGGAAGGCCTTTGACAGGCTTTGGCACATTAGCCTTTTGGGCAAGCTCCCAGCGTACGGCTTATTCCATGGCCTGATTGACTGGGTGAAGGGCTTTCTGAATGAACAATCTCTCCGAGTTGTTATCGATGGCTCCTCGTCTAGTACTATCGCGACAAACGCCGGGGTTATTCAGGGGTCCGTTCTCTCCGCAACTCCCTTCCTGCTGTATATTAATAATCTGCTTATGTGGTGTCTATGAGTATGCAGACGACAGCACAGTTCTGGAGAGGTACTAGCCGAATGCTCGGGCCAGTCGAGATCAAATCCAGTCCGAAAGAGAAGCTATGGTTAAGCGTGGGTATCTCTCAATGCAGGCAGTCTCCGAATAGGGCGATGCTCAATCTTGTGAGATTCCCGCCTCCAAAACACAAGCGAATCTTTTTACCGCTAAAAGTACCCTGGCTCCTACTTTCCGGAATGTATCCTTGGATTAAACTTGCCGCTTTCAGTTGTTGGGGGTCGAATTTTCTCCGAACATCAACTATGTGCGGTTGGGCCCTGGACCCAACCGCACATAGTTGAGGTCCAGGGCTCAACCAAGGAAACTAGGTGCTCTTGCAAGGGTGCGGTTGTACTTCATACCGGGGCAGCTTTTACCTTATATAAAGTCCGGTCGTACAAGGAGTATTGCTGTCACATATGTATGGGCTGGTGCTACAATTCATCGAAATCTTTATATGTATGTTCACCGATTACTCGAAGACGCCTGAATCGATTTGGAAAATTCTTTTTTTTGTTTCAAAGGGTATACTTCCCAGGTGGTCCCATTAAAATTTTATCGAAATCGGTCAAGCGGTTTTAAAAAAATCAACAATAAATATTATTTATATTGCAGTCGGTTGTACAATTTTTTTTTTAATTTTATCACTTGTTCCGTCGGAATACAATCCGGGCGTCTGCAAGGCAAGAGTGAATAGGCTTTGTTACGCTAAGACAGTGCGATTTACCATCTAGGGCTACATCACCACTTACTACCAGGTAGGTTGTGGTCAAGCATTGGCTTATAAAAAAAATCTCAACACGTTTCGAATTTCCCGATCCTGCGCTGCGCCAACATATTTTGAAGAAGTGTTAACTTTTATGGGTTAATTAAGTTTTTACCAGCTCGTCAAACGCTTAAATAAATCGTGTAGTAGCAGTTTCGTTACAAATATTTCTTATTGTTAACCATACACATTTCTTGGGGTTTTCGGTGTTCTGTCAGTGTATGTGTTCTACTATGTATTGAAAGTAGATGTTCCATGTCATAGGAGAGAAAGGATAGGCTTAGTTTGAACAATCTTTTGTGACGATCTGCAAAACAGTAAGCACGTTGTTAATAACGCCTATGGAATGTCCCAATAGTGAGATTCCCTGACCTTGGCTACGTACGTCTCGGATTTGAATCCCAGTGTGAGGTAACAATTTCTGCAAAACAAATTCCTATTCAGGTCTACTTGTGTGGTGACCCCGTGCTTCTGAAACTACATTCTGCTCTATCTATTTTTACCACATTACCGTTACACCGAGCACATCCGGAACAAACAGACGTCTGTCTGTTTGTTCCGGCTAATCTCTAGTCTGTCTAAACAAAAAAATTTTAAAGTGTTTTTTGTTATATACGTATATACTTTCATATGAATTTAGTAAAAGCTGTCATTTTGACATTACAAACACACCTCAATTATATTTATTTGAAGCTTTAGAACACGTTAAGTTTAAAATATATAAATTTCAGCACACACGAAACATTGTGGTTAGTACTGGTACCGCAGTTGTAATAGTATCATTAACAATAATGAGTTCATTTTGAACAACATAGTTTGTGGTCTTAACTAAATATTCCGCAAATAAGGAACTTGTTAGTCGTAGTAAATTGTTACGTATTATGATTTGTTTTTATGAATATAATTGTAGATATAATATCTTCTTCGTCTAACCATATATCTGTACAATCATCTAACCATATGGCTGGATACAAAAAATTATCCCCGATTACGTCCACTGACTAGAGATAAAATTATCTTGTCCTTATGCCAAAGCACGGTAACGAGGAGAATTATATCCCCGTTTGACATAACGAGTAGACATATATCCCCCGTCTGTAGCATGGACCATTTTATACGTGGTAGAGCCATGCTGCAGCTATATTATGGTTGTAGCACGAATGGGTCGGCTCGACCGGGGAAGGACTACGCTCTCACAGAATACCAGCGTAAAATAGCAGCTTAACGCTGCTGTGTTTCGTATTTGAAAGGGACAATTTTAGCTTAGTTCATTGGACGTGGGTTTAAGTTTATATTCATACAAAAATCGATCTAAGTCTATCGCCCATTTTATCTATTGTGGATATTATTTCCACCGTTGTGCCCATGCTCGAAGGGAAGATAAAACTAGGCGAGGGGGTAAACATTTTCTCCTTTCCCCGGGGATAAAATTGTCTCCTACCCATGCTAGCCCTGCAGCTGGACATAAGCCTTGTAAGGACGATTTACCTTAACCGTCACACTTAGCATATGGTTGGAAGATAGCAGTACCAAACGTCTGTAATATCGTATTTGGTCTCTTATGACACGCATGGGATGACATGGAGTGACAGATTCACTAACGCCCATCCCATACTGCAATAAAATACATATAAATATAGGATTTTCGACCTTCTACAGTTGTCAATTGTCTGGTCCGATGGGACTCATCTCATAGACCGGAGAAAGGTCTGACGCAGGATCAACGGCTCTACGTGTTTTCCGAGGCACGCGGTTGAACACCACCTATTTCCTGACTCCGGGCTGCTAAAGAGAATTTCCTGACAGAAAAACCTAACTATTAATTTTTGTCTGACTCGGAATTCGAACCCGTCCTGGATTCAGATCAGGAACCGCGTTTACGAACACTAGACCTACGAGGTAGTCGACAGTACTGTCTAAAACTCTAAAAGTGTGGTCTGGAAGACGATGTTGTGACTAGTGTTAAGAAAGAAATGCTTCTGTGGACAGAAAACGTAAAAAGAATGAATGAGGAAAGAATGACAATGACCGGCACCTGCATGCAGCAGAAGTGAGTTTAGACAGAGTCAGCAAGAGACGTCCTAGATAGAAGTTTGTCTACCGCACACACACACAAACACTCACGCCTGTCACCCAGAGGGGTAGGCAGAGACTACGGACTTCCATTTGGCGCGATCCTGACATACCTCTCTCGCCTCCTTTACATCCATATATCTACGCATACACGCTCGTCGGTTAAGGGTACTATTAATCTGGCCCATTTTCAATGTATCGCCGATTTGGTCGATAAACCTTCGTCTAGGGCATCCCTTCCCGACCCTGCCGTTCACTTCTACAACATAAATTTGCTTTGTCACTCTTTCCTCGTTCATTCTTCCTACATGAGCAATGGCGATATATTGAAGATCGGCCACATTAAGATAACCTACCCTTAACCAACGAGCATATATTTGTGTAATTCATCACCATAATTAACATCTTTCAATATTCAGTGTTTCCGACTGACTTGATGTGCTGGCAATCAACTAACACTTCATATTTTTAAAGAGGAATGTTAGCTAAGGATCTAAGCGCTCTACGCAAACTGTTCACGAGCAACCAATGTTCGATCCCAGCCGGCAAACGAGGTACGAAAGTAGTTTTATTCAATATAAATTAAACATAAAAACATGCGTGAGTGTCGTGGAACACTCGGTTGGAGCTAAGTCCCTTGCGTAGTATATTATTATTGATAAACGTAGGTATTATATTATTGATTAACAAATACTTACAAATAAATGAATTACTAGCGTGTATTGAAATGAAAAAAATAATATGTCTTTCATGGCAAGATAAGAAAAAGTGCGAGGGAAATGGATATTATTTCATCTCACTTCCTTATTTCGCCGCCAAGGCCGTCTACACTATGACACAAGGGGTCTTCTTACACATTTTGTCGCCTAGCTCCCATCCACCAAATCCGCACCGTCCGATAAAGAACTTCGTTCCAAAAATATTTTTTTTATAGTATAGGATGACAAACAGGCACACAGTCCACCTGATGATAAGTGGTTGCTGTGGCCCATAGATATCTACATTTATCCTTGTTTACGAATCAAAATGCAGATACGTGTGCCACCCGTGAGGACTAAGATGGAATGTCTCGTTTCCAGTAAAAAGGGTCTCCGGTTCTCTACACTCACCATACGAGACACAGCAGTGTTGAGCTGCTATTTGACGCTGGTATTCAGTGAGAGCGTGGTCCTTTCCAGGTCGAGCCGACCCATTCGTGCTACAACTATACTACTAATATAACTGCAACATGGCTCTACCACGTATTTATATTTTTAATATTGTTATTATATAAAATATTTTAAACAAAAAATATGAAGTACAACCAGACGGAAGCAGTTTGGAGGAAAAGGAAACTCACCGTCGGACGATGCGGACGGTATCACGGTCCGCCATTCGCGGAGTACTTTAATAACATTCCTAATGATGCTGAGGCGGAAGTCCTAACCCTAGTAAATTATTTTACAACATTATATTTCATTCGAGAAGAAATTTCTAATACGGTTATATAGAAACATCGAGATACAAGTAAAAATTAAAACAAAAATTATAAAAAGTACACGATTTTCAGGGTTCTGCTGAATATAACAGCAAGTCCAACGTTGGTTAGTGTCAAGACAAAGATAAACAAAGATCCCAGCCATATTCGGAGTTTACTGTACGGGCGCCGGTACGGGTGTGTGGAGAACGGGTTGTGCTTATACTGCCTTTAATTTTCTACACATTGTAAAGCAGCGTATGATCTAAAATTTTAATTTTTTTTTTGTAATATGAAACACTAGATCCGAACACGTTTCGATACTCAAAAATATTTTACATTATTGCATACAATTTTTGCACGAAAAAAAAAATTAAAACTGGCTGGCTTTATTGTATTTTTCGTCATTAGGAGAGTTTTATTTTTTATTACCTTTAATTATTATTATCATCTGAGAGCATGTAATGGCGGTGTAAGAATATCGACTACTCTATATCCCCATGGGTGTCGTAAGAGGTGACAGAGGAAAACAAACCAGGAGGTGGGCAGCACTGTCTTTCTTATAACAATAGACTTCGTAAGTCCATTGCCGGATTTACGCCTTTTCAAGAACGCGCCATCTTGCATAATATACAGTAGAATGCCGATTATTCGAATTAATTGGGGCCGGGGTCGATTGGGATAATCGAAAATTCGGATAATCGGACATACATACACACATAGAATAAACTTTGTTTTATTTATTTATTTATATTCTTTATTGCACACAAAATACTACACTACACAACACAACAAACATAAATTTATAAAGTTTATAAATGATTTTACACTTTATAAAGTTTATAAATGGTTTTACACTTTATAAAGTTTTATAAAGTGTAAAACCAGCTACACCCATTCATCACTGAACATTCGCGCCTTTTCAAATAAAATCGATCCTGAAATCGGTTGTCCAATAGATCGTTGCTGCAGAAACCACGTAAAAACAGCATTCTCAAGCTGTTCATCCTTTGCCTTTTTCATTACCTTTCGCGACGAACATCCATCACCAGTTTCCAACGCAGTCACAAATTTTAAATTTTTTTTACTGTTATTTTTAATATCAGTTAACCAAGTACTGTAAGTAACATTACTTACTTACAGTACTTGGTGTTAATTTTTTTGTATTACGCCTAGGACCGATTCGGATAATTGGCGATTCGGTTAATCGGCGTTCGGATAATCGGCGTTCTACTGTATATCAAATATTTGCAAGGAGAGCTGATACTCTCGCTTTGGTTATGCTTTTGTTTATCATTATCAAGTTTTCTTCATTACGACCTCGGCCTCTTCCATCTTAAGAGGGTTGTTGTCTTTGTCTGTTTTTTATCCACTTGGCTAGCGGGTTGGAAGCAGACGATCGTAGTACCATATGTCCCGCACCTTTGTCGCTGCTGTAACTATCACTAGTCAGTGAATTTAGTACTAATTTATTAACAGCGCTTTTGAATGGAATTTCATCAGGACCTTAGATTGAGACTATTAACAACAGAGTACACTGCGTGCGGGCGAGGTTGGTATTTAAAGGGACAGTACCTACACACATTTTGTGTCCTTACAACAAAAACAAACGCTGGTAAATTATTACACTCCTTTGCTGTACGCATTACGAAAAATGAAGCATATAGTTTAGTTCAAATGTGTTGAATATCTTCAATAAAGGAGCGAAGACCCGCCGACCGCCTGGTTGTCCGATGGTACAAATTATAATGAATAGGTAGGAGAGAAGAATTAAAGCGTCTAATTCGTGCGCACATTTTGCGAAATGCATCGTTTTGTGATGTAACACTCATTGCGCTGATACCTTCACAGCTGATACAGACGTGGAATATGCGAACGTATCGTTCGTTTGTATACCTTCCAAAGGCTGATAAGCGTAGCATTATTATTGAGATTGAGCGGCTTCGTGCTTAACAACTTTCGTGCCCATCGTGTTGAATATGGGCAATTCTTACAAACAATGTATGTTAACAAGCGCATTTTCAGATATATCTATTGTAAGAAAATATTCCACTTCTAATGTTAGAAATTATTCTCAAAAGAGTATTGAAATAAAATAACACTACCCGGTAACAAACTCTTCTTACTATCAGGACCCCAGATACACCATAACACCAAAGTATGCGGACCAACAGCAACACTACCCATTTCAATGTAACACAGGACAGCCTCTTAGCAACAAGATATTCCTTGCCTGCATTAATAGAATACCCCAACGGGCATAGTAACGGCAGTGAGACTTGTAGAATTACAGACTGATCCTCTTAGTCGCCTACGCGATACTTTATACTGCTAGAACAAGTGGGAGATTACCGTTATACCTTAATTTGTTCGTATTTCATTTTATTTTTTTACCCTCATTCCCGACACTATTTTATCTAACAATGGAATAAAAAATCTAATAATGAATCATAGTATTAACAGACAAAAAACTAATCATTTAAATAAATTGCGCAAATATTAACTGCACCTTCAGTTCGATTGGAACATAGAGTTCGCGTTCAGTTTGACGGCTCCGTGGCGCAGTGGCTTAGCAATGAATTGCAGCGCTGGGGGCCGCGTGTTCGAAACCTGCACGGAACAAGTATTTGTATGGACTACAAATAACTGATCCGGGTCTGGATGTTTCTACTTGTGCAATTTATATTTGTAAACTGCCTAGTGTGAACGTAAAATATTTAAAAAAAAAGTGTGTGTTACATTGGTAAAACAAAAATGCAATACTTAGTTACTGATCATTTTATTTTTCAAGCAATGTTATGTCAGATAAAACGTTAAAAAGTGTCATCTGTTAAGTCCGCTTAACTACACCGAATAGCTCGTCGATATTGCTCAATAATGATCTTAGAAATAGAGGTTTGTACTCAATATTGGAAAAGCCACCATTTACGGCAGATCGTTTTATTTAATTAAAGACCATGGTAGAATGTTTTTCTTTCCGGATTTCCAGAAATCCCTACACGTTTTTGAGCAAAATGTTAAGCTTAATATCACTTCTTCGGCGCTATCTATGAGTATTATTTTTCTGCAAAAAAATAAACATATTAAAACGAATGTACTAAATTATATTTATTAGATATAAATAAAATAAAAATAAATTAAAAATGCTAACTCTAAGCAAAATTCGTAGTACACGTAGTCAAATATTGGTTTCTTGCAATAAACGTTTTCACATTTTGAAATCGGTCCATTGCATAGGTCAGATTTAAGAAAATGTGGTAGATATGAACAAAAATTATCAATAATATCGCTGACTACGTAATAGTCTCTTCTTTCATTTTTACAATTTCCTGAATATTTTGGAATGCTATTTGGAATTAAATTCATTTTATTTCCATTTAAATCACAGAACTTATTTTCTTCATGTCTGTTTATTCCAAATCCACTAAAATTATTTTCAAGGTCGACCATGAAATTATTTTGATAACCACATTTCTCTTCATAATAATTGTTTCTATCTGAATATAAACTCAGTCGTGTTGTCAATTGTCTTGCAGCCATAGAAAGTGTTTGATATACAATTCTTCTTGATAATTCATAAAGACTCGGAGGTAACTGAACTCCATTTTCAATAATAATATTGTATTGCGGTGGACAATTGATGTCGATTTCAAATTCTTTGGATTCTTGATGAATTTTTAAGCGACACTTGCATCTATTTCGGTTAGTTTGTAGGTTTCTCGTTATGTCCAAGCATCTGTTAAAAATTTAACATGTATAGCGTTACAATCTGAATCAGAATATTATAATTAACCTTGAGGTGGCTGTGTAAGAGAATCCCCCACCCTCTACGTTGTAAAGGCGAATTATTAAAGCGCTAGAAAGATTATAAGGCCTCCGATAGATGGTTGTTTTCATTTTAATGTTAATGTAAAAAAATTAATAATGATGATGACAGACCCATGATGTAAAACACCCAGAGCGGCAACAGAAAACAGCGTCTAAGTTACGAGACGTCTGGTACTATGACCACCAATCACGTTCAGCAGTGTAATTTACAATATTATTATTTATATACGCGCACAAAGTCAATCGCTTATCGACACTATCCTGTACTTGATTTGCATTAATAAATACACGATGCATTCAACTTGGGATAGGTAAACTGCAGTAAGCAGGTAGCGATGACCAACATGACATTAAAAGTGATAGATTATTAATGCGAAATATTCATACACACCCGATATTAAGGCTCCTTGTTTGTTGATCACGAAACATATGATACCAAAGAGAATAAGGTATGGATTTCAAGTCAACGTTTCTCCAAAATCTGAGTTCGCAGTGGTAGTAATTGTAAACAGGCCTTTGTGGTAGCCACTGTAGTTGGTTATCTGTAAAAATACCAAAATAAACTGACGCTTAACGTATGGTAACATAAAATAGATTAACTTTCAACGAAATACTGGGAAAACACTGTAAACAACAAACACTGAAAATGATTTGATTTTGAGCAATATTATGAAAATGTCATTTTTACAACATGTAACAAAATACCTGTGGTTCCCGTTAAGTCCGTTATCAGGATCAGTATTGAAGCGTATGAAAATAACTTTTCTTCAGATAAGTTGATCATATTTTTTATTAAATTAAAATAAATTACAATTAAAAAATTAACCACATACAATAAGCAAATTAAAAAAAATTAAATTAATTTTTTTTTATTGTCCAGTATTCTGAAGTAAAGTTATTACAATACGTTTGAATAATGATTGCGATAACGCAATTAACGTCAACCACCGGATTTTGTTACATATTGTATACCTCCAAAAAGTGTCATTATACACAAACAGTGTTTATTAAACATTTTCTGAATTGTGTTTATTAAAAATTTTGAAGCATTTAAATTGCTCTCACCATTATATCTTAAGAGGTATAGTTGAGAAAATCTGCAAATAAAATTAGCATAACTAAAGATAGTAGTTATGTTTTTTTTTATAGGACAGAGTGACACACGAGCACACAGTCCACCTGATGGTAAGTGGTTGCTGTGACTCATAGACATCTACATCTATCCTCAATAAAGTATCAAAATGCAGATGCGTTGTCACCCGTGAGGACTAAGATAAAATGCCTCTTTTCCAGTAAAAAGCATCTCCGGTTCTCTAAACTCACCATATGAAACAAAGCAGCGTTAGGTTGCTATTTTACTCTGGTATTCTGTGAGAGCGTGGTCCTTCCCCGGTCTAGCTGACCCATTCGTGCTACAACTATACTACTAGTAGTAGTAGAGAACCGGAGAGCCTTTTTACTGGAAAAGAGGCATTTCATCTTAGTACTCACGGGTGACAACGCATCTGCATATTGATTCGCAAACGAGGATAAATATAGATGTCTATGGGCCACAGCAACCACTTACCATCAGGTGGACTGTGTGCTCGTTTGTCACCCTAATAAAAAAAAACTAATATAGGTGCAGCATTGCTCTACCACGTATAAAATATATGTTTACTTAAAAGATTTTATATTGAGAGACCGTGAATTCGGTGTAAGTATATACACTATATCATTCGCTGGGTGTCGTAAGAGGTAACAGAGGGAAACAAACCAGTAGATGGACAGCAGCGCCTTTCTGATAACAATAAGAAATAAAAAACTGCGATTGTCAACCGCCCTGCCAAGCGTGGTAATTATGTCAAATATTCCCCCTATGGGACAGTCTATAGGGAGGCCTATGTTCAGTAGTGGACTTTTGATGGGCTGCAAAGGTAACATATATATGCGATTTTTGTTCAATTTTTTTTTTAGAAATAATGCGTTGTCCCCAATTGCTATGATGAATCGTCTAGAGTCCGTCTGGGTAGATACCACCCCCTTACCTATTATTGCCGCCAAATAGCAGAGCGTGCATTGCTGTGTTTCAGTCTGCAGAGCATGCAACTTAGAACATTATTTTACGAACAAAATGATACGTTTTATGTGCTTCCATCTACATTCCGAAGCGCTAGGCTAGACTTATTTTAATCTCACTAGAGGGCACTTACATATTAAGTCTATGCATACGCAATAATCCACGCGCACTACGCAGTTAGTAGCGGTCACTGGTTACGCTTAAATTGTTATTAATATTTATTGAACATTATTTATTTTTAGACAATGCCATTTTATCTGTGTTTTCAGACAATGAAAAAACTGCAAAAATATTATTAGAATACGAATGTAAATTTCGCCACAACGCACAAGTTTATAATAGCTCAGGTATCCACCTGGGTATCATACATCGGGCGATCCCGAAATCTAAAGTCCCCGGATAGCGTCCAGCAGATGTGTTTATTTTTTCCCTTTTTTTCAAGTTCCTTCTTTTGTAAGCGCCGTCTGTTATGCAAAGCACGACACTAAAGAAAATTAAATTTGAGTCCCGCATCTATCTCTAGTATATATACAGTAATCTATGCTGCAGAGTGTAGAGATCCAGTATAATGAGGGCTAATAATTATTTGGCTCACTAGATGTCGCTAGTTGACACTGAGGTAGTTTTTTGTTACACATTGTAATTTAATTGAGAAGTTGTTTTTTAATAAATGTTTATTAGTTTCTAGAGTATTATATTAATACACAAAACAATCCGTCAGTGGTTTGTTCTTTAATTTTTTGCACATTTTTAACTTTTTTTTAATTTTTTCTACTTTTATGAATATATGTAGTTTGGTTTATTTATTTCTAAAGTTATTAATACAAAATACAGCTAATAGTGCAAAAAGAAACAATAACTTTTACATTTTCCGAACAAATTAACTTCCCGTATATGAAATCTGTCAAATATTATACCTACCTCCCTTTTTAGTGGCGCCTCCCTGGTGGCAGAAAAAGTCGTGGATGCTCTCATTACAGGCTGTGAGGCATTTTATTTTAATCATATTTAAAAAAAATAAAAGATGAGAACGCATCTAAAGCCTTCTTAATTTGAGGTTGGCTGCAGGTGTTCAAGGGCTGCAGTAACCGCTTTTCATTGGGTGGACTGTGAGTACTTTTGTCACTTCATTTTATTTAAAAAAAAAGTGTCAAACGGATTGGACTGTTCCATCTGATTGCAAATGAATTCTGCAATTTGCGGACTTATTAAACTAAATAACTGAAGTAATTAAGTAAATTACATCAAAATAAATGACAAGTCACTAAACTATACATAGAGACCTTACCCATTGCCACAAAGCGCGGTCCTGAGCCACCGCCATCCACCGACTTCCTGCATGTCGTCACTATATCTAGTGGGGGGCCGCCCTAGGCTTTACAGTTTTTTCGATTTCTAACTCTATTAAGTTTTATTACAATCGGTTTAGCCATTCCGAAGATTCGTCCAAACAGAAAGACAGATAGACAAACATTTTAAAAATGGTTATTCATGTCTTAATGACATGATTTTTTTTATAGGATAGGGTGACAAACGAGCACACAGTCCACCTGATGGTAAGTGGTTACTGTGACCCATAGACATCTACATCTATCCTTAATAAAGACTCAAGATGCACATGCGTTGTCACCCGTGAGGACAAAGATGGAATGCCTCTTTGCCAGTAAAAAGGGTCTCCGGGTCTCTACACTCAACATACGAAACACATCAGCGTTAAGCTGCTATTTTACGCTGGTTTTCTGTGAGAGCGTGGTCCTTCCGCGCTCGAGCCGACCCATTCGTGCTATAACTATACTACTAATATAGCTGCAGCATGGCTCTACCACGTAAAAACCCCTCAGCTCTATCTAAGGCAGTTATTTCGATATTACAGACATAAGCTTCAATTTTATTTAAATGTAAAGATTAGCGATTAAAAATCTATAATTAAATGTAGTGAAATTTGCTGTCAACTTTATTACTTACATTAACGTAATTTTAAATTACCAGAATAGCGCGGAACTAAACAGGACTGAGAAGGAAAACAACAGAAGGTAAATCATCGTATAAATAAACAAACGTCACATTTATTTCATTTAGGTTACATTAGGTTAAATCTTTTTTGACAGACATATTTTTATTAGATACGATCGTTTTGTGACTTGCATTAGTAATAAAATACACAATACGGCTGTACTTTGTGGAACAGGTCAAACAAATCAGCAGGGAAGTATTAAATTTGATTTATCACACTGTCGGACTGTGGGCTTGTTATCGGAAGCACCGAAATAACTACTGTTTCTCAATTTTACGAGCGACACTAAAATTTATAAACCGGGCACCGCCAAGCTATATTCGGTAAGTGTTAAAATCAGTAAGTACATATAATTACAGCCCATGAATATCATATGCCTCTCCTACGGGTTCCCAAAAAGCACCTTTTTGGGACTTTTTTTCTTCTATATCACTGACTTTAGAATATGAAATTATTTTTTTCTTTTTAATTCTTTGATGACGGCTTTTACTTTTTACTAACAGTTAGGTATTTTTTTGAAGTATGATCACCGATTTCGATCGGAAACGTGTCAACCATAGATTACTGTAATGCATATTATATATATGGTCTAAACGGATTTAAATAATTGTTTTTTTTTAATTACCTAATTTACCATTGCAGATATGGCAAATTTAAAGAAATAATTCTGTCGTTAGGAATGAAATAATAGGAGATGAGGTTTTTATTGTACAGCGGGACGTCCCGGCTCTTGTCTGATGATTGGCAAACCTAGTCTTAACAGACGGACATCCGGGCAGCCGGACGGCCGGATTCGTTGTTTCCTTTAGAAGAACGTATCCCTTACAAAATACTCGTGACACTACCATGTCTCTTGCAAAGTTGACGGCTTACGATTATTTGGTTACAGTTTTGTTGTACAAGGCTCAAAAAACAACGGACATTTTTGTTTAAAAGTTAACTAACTAGCTAGATAGATCAAGGAGTTATAAAGTATATCTGTAATTTATCAATCAATGATTACCACAAACCGAAAGATATCGCAGCAATCGCAACTCGGCGATCCTCAAAGGCAACGAACGAAGCTCGTTCTCGTCTAATATCAAGAATTTCAAGGCCCTCATTTCGCCGATCTCGTCGGGGATGCACCGCAATCGATTCCCGCTGACATCCAAACACTTCAAGCAGCGCAAGTTCGATATCTCTCGAGGCAGCTCCGTGATATCGTTGCCGCTTAAATACAAACTTTCTAGGTTTCGCAATTTACCGATGTCGTTCGAAACATGCGATATTAAATTCTCCTTTAAATAAATATCCGTTACTTCGGCTTCTTCACCTTGTAGATAACGTATCGGAAATTCTGTGAAACCTCTGTAATTCCAATGAAGGACCGTGCTTAATTTTTCGCAATTCATTTTTAACAACAATTTGAACTTGCTCCAATGGAAAATACGTAGAAAGAGGATTAAAATGATTGCATCTTGTACTTATATCATTTCAAAATCTTCAACTTCAAAAACACGATATCATGTCATATAGAATCACTGTTATACACTAACATTACACATTTATCTTTATGTTAAAAATATTATACAAAGTTCTTGAAACATCAAAATTTATCGTATACAAAATTAAATTTAATAAAGGCTTCGAAACATGTTTTGAACATATAGGTAAGTATATTTTAAAATTAAGTTTATTTTCGTAATAACGGATTATCATTGATACGGGCTTTCTACATTCCCGTCTGAAGTACACTGCATCATATAACACGTACAGACGTAACGTGAATTATTTTTAAAACAGTAGCAAGGCCTTTCATATGGCCCAACATTCAAAATTAGATCGATGTGACGCGAGATTTTTTTAAATAAAAGTCTTCTTATGTCTTTTCACAATTCTCTTTTATTTTCACACACAACTGAAGGTCGCTAATAACTATCATATTAATAGGTGGTAGGACTTCTTTCCTGCCTACGAGTCTTTCTGGATAGGTAACCACCTTCTTATCCTATATCTGCCGCCAAATAACCGTATTTGCACTTTGAAGTTGGCCGCAAGTTGCTTTGTTGAAGTGTCCGTAGATTGCAGAATCCACTTACCATCAGGTGTAAGTTCGTGTCATTTCAGTTTAATAAAAAAAGAACCGCCACTTGCTATAAATGAATACGATAGTTATTTAAGTTTTGCAAAGATTTAATGCTAATTTTATAATGTAAAACATGTTTACCGTATTAAATATTTTCGTTTCATGTTTTATGTACCTAATATCGTTTAGGAAAATATCACATTTATTCGATGAATCTATTTTTTAAAAGCTTTTTTCATAAATGTGCAAATACAAGATTAAATTAAAGTTTATTGAAACAAAGTTGTAATATTAAATAAACTGATGACGCTGAAGTCCAAATCGACGAAAGTAACGCTGATGTAGGTATAGGTAGGTTACAAAATCAAAGAGGCAAACTAGGCTAGGTTAATATTTCAATTTCAAGCTATTCTAAGTGAGAGAGATGATAAGAGATATATGTATACCCTGAATAAATATAAGAGATGAGAGAGTTGTTACACAATTATCTCAAGGCTACGACGCATATTAAAAGCGTCATGTTTTTGTAACATTCTGTAAATTATTGTCAATTTTCGTAAATCTTAATCATGCGATTTTTTTTTCACCTAGTTTAGATTTCGTACGATTGTAATTAATGGAAGTTAGTATTTAGATGTACACTAAAAGAATTAAATCCACACTTGGGTAAAAATTTTACGTGCTCGGCGGTGAAGGAAACCATGAGATGAGAAGAAGATGAGATGACATCAACACGTGAAGTTCGTCAAGACGCATAAGGGTAGCGCAACGGCTGCTTCTTTGCCCTAAAATCCTCTCAGAAGTGAGAGGAGACCTGTGCCAGCGTGGAACGTATGTATACATATAGGCTGTAACTTTACTATTGGGTGAAAAAATTAGGTTTATTTGCTAAAATAATCCGTAGAGTCTATATTCTAATAAGATAAGAGGAATAATTCCAACAAAAAAGTCGCAAACGAACAAGAAAAATTATACTAACAAATCAAAGTAAGCCATTTCATTGAATAATGAAACCAACTTCAAACGTCAATATTTCAAAAGTACCTTTTTGTGGGCTGGTTGGGTCCTTATGCGTAAAAATTACTTGAATTATGTTCAAAAATTTCAAAAATATCGTTTGTAAGTATTCTCGACTGTACAAAATTATGAATTATTTTTCCTGTAAGGATATCTACAAGCCCATTATCATCCGGTGGGTGTCGTAAGAGGCGACAAAGGGAAACAAATCAGGAGATAGGCAGCTAGTCTTTCTAATAACGACTAAATTAAAAAACTGCGGTTGCTAACCGGCTTGCCGAGCGTGGCAACTATGGCAAATATCCCCCTACGAGCCAATCCACGGGGGAGGCATATATTCAGTTGTGGACTTTAATAGGCAGTAACAGTAGCGGTTTATTTCATGCAGCAATTTTTGTTACTGATAATTATTCTTTTTTACATATCTCTTCAGTTTCAAGCACTCCTATTGTATCTCATTCAACGGAAACGGAAACTTCCGTATCAGCATGTTGAGTGAAGTTCTGTTCTGCGGTCACTTAAGGGAAGGCCACTTTGGCTTCTAACAAGCTTGCGTTGACCCACTGGTCTTTCTAAGAGACATTGTATCTTTGCTTTTTTTACCGTATCTATCAGAGGGAGTTCTCCTGAGAATTGCTTGGGTTAATTTCAGTTTTACCACCGCACATTTCGACCATTTTCTCAATACCATTCTCACCAACTGCTTGACAGTCTACCACTGTTCCAAAAGATTCTTACCTCGCACTTCTACTCTTTACAATCTGCTTTCTTCTATTCATTTATTACAGCATTCTGAAACGGAATCCCGAATGAGGATTCCGTGAAATCATCACACACATACTTTTATTTCCGTTCTGAATAACAAGGCTCAGTTGAAAGACGCTAGCCATTGAGTCTAGACATTCTGCCAGCGAATAATGACGACGATTTTCTGGGTGCATCCCCTCATCACCCTAGGCTTGCAATATAGTTAATATTATGTAAAAAGATCTATCTATCCAGAGATATTTTTTAAATATGGATGTCTGTAAACTCTTTCGACGAATTATTAAACAAAATAAGATGAAAGCTTACGAAAAGCTATACACATTTAAGATTAAATTTAAAAACGTATATAAACACACTTATTCGCTTCGGTCGTGCGACGAAAAATGAGCGCGTTCCGTACGGAATTTACGAATGTGTGTTGCGACTCGTACAAAATCTATGGAAGACTTGCGTTCGGAGCGGCTTTTTTCCGTTCGGGATTCCGAACGCACAGGCGGTCATACGGAATCTCGAATCGGAGAAAATTCCGTACGGAAAACTGGGTGTTCCAAGCGCATAAGATATTTACAAGCAGTCGTCGCAAAATTCGAGTCGGGCCACGCATAATACGATCGTGATTTTTACAAAATAATAACAAAAATATTGTTTTAAAATTATAAACAAATATTTACACAATGAGAAATAAACACACATCCAAAAGCTTAAATATAGTCTATATAAGTTCCATAAAAGTATAGTTATTTATAATCAATTTTATTTTCTAAATATTATTTAGGTACGTAGCAGAAGACAAAGGCGCAAGGTCCCGCGTGCCGCGGGACGCTGGCAAGGTGGCAAGCGACGCATGGATCAAAAAACACTTGAATAATTAATTAATTTAAAAAAAAATGTAATGAAAAAAAAAGATCAATCAAAGGAATCACCTATACAAGATGCAGGAGTGTACAAGCTGGATTGTGAATGTGGTCTCTCTTACATAGGGATAACCAAAAAGATCTATTAAAACCCGCGTGAAACAACATATAGCTGACTTGAAACACCGACGTTCCGGGAAGTCTGCAGTGTGTGAACATGTTCAAAACCGTCCCCGCCATTAGGTACATTAGATTTGATAGACCACAAAACCTCGCAAAAGAACACCGATTCCTACCAAGGATGATTCACGAGGCTATTGAAATTAAAAAACATACTAATTTTAATAGAGAAGATCGATAAAATTAGTATGTTTGTAAATCCAAACCCAAGCATACCACTTCACTAAGACTTCAAGATACTGTAAGCTCATACTACGTAGATCGGACCAAAAATTAATATTCAAAAACTGAAGGTAGCCGGGCTAACCATGACATCGCGACGTCAAACACCTCAGTCCCCCCGTGACCATTGGTGCTTTAAACGCGATAAATTCCGAAAAATTAGTTTCATTTAATAAATTGGGATGCTAAATTTCTATATTCCTAGCCTTTACAAAATGTAAAAAGAAACTGAAGTTTTAGGCAAACACTTCTGGAATATCACCAATTTTTAAAGCGCTATGAAACGCTTTATTGTTTGTTTAAAATATTTTACACGAAAATATCGAAAGCCAATATCAAGAGTGATGTACTTGGCGCCGCGGCGTGTGGTTGGCGAGTTTCCAAAGCCAACAACTCGAATTGTCGGGTCGAGGGCATTTCACGAGGGGCGATAAACAATGAAAATACGCGTCACCTGTTGTATGGAATAATAAAAATTAGCATAACATAAACATAACCATGTTTTAAGTACTTGCGTCATGGTGACTGTACTACCGAGCTAAGTATATTCTGAGATTTATCAAATGATCTAGAACATTTAGACATGTAACCAGATCATCATCTTCATCAATACAGCCTTTCATAAGTCCACTGCTGAACATAGGCCTCTCCCAAGGAATGCCACATAGCACGGTCCTGAGCCACCTGCATCCATCGACTTCCTGCATGTCTTATCACGTCGTCACTCCATCTCGTGGGGGGTCGCCCTACACTTCGCCTACCGGTACGAGGCTGAACCTTTCTTCCCCATCGGTTGTCAGTTCTTCGAGCTATATGGCCGGCCCACTGCCATTTCAGCTTACTAATCCGTTGGGCTATGTCGGTTACTCTGGTTCTACTGCGGATATACTCATTTCTAAGTTTATCACGCAGAGAAACCCCGAGCATAGCCCTCTCCATAGCTCGCTGAGCGACCTTGAGCTTCCTCATACGGCCAGCAGTGAAGGACCACGTCTCAGATCCGTAAGTCATCACTGGCAACACGCACTGGTTGTACAATTTCGTTTTAAGGTTTTGAGGTATGTCTGACGAGAAGATGTGTCGTAGTTGCCCGAACGCTGCCCAGCCGAGTTGAATCCGTCGATTGACCTCTTGGTCGAAGTTGGACTTACCTAGTCGGACTATTTGTCCCAGGTAAACATACTCGTCAACAACTTCGAGCTTAGTGCTCCCGACAACTACCGGCGTAGGTGTGACATGGACATTAAACATGATCATTGTTTTGTCCATGTTCATCCTAAGACCT